GACAATGCACCGATTGAAGCATCCATCGTAAATTTTGGTTCCTTTGCTCCAAAGCGATATTCTTATGGAGAAATCAAGAGAATGACAAATAAATTTACCCATAAATTAGGTCAAGGAGGATTCGGCAGTGTGTACAAAGGCAAGTTATCCGACGGTCGTTTCGTGGCGGTCAAAGTCCTAAGTGAATCCAAGGGAAATGGAGAGGATTTCATGAATGAAGTTGCTAGCATTAGTAGAACTTCTCATGTTAATGTAGTGACTTTACTCGGTTTTTGTTTTGAGGGATCGAAGAGAGCGTTGATCTACGAATTTGCGTCTCATGGATCATTGGACAAGTTCATTTATAACAAGGGATCGGATAACCAAAGTCGTCTGCGGACGCTGGAGTGGAAAACTTTGCACGACATTGCACTCGGCGTCGCTAAAGGACTGGAATACTTGCATCAAGGTTGTAACACAAGGATCCTGCACTTCGACATAAAGCCTCATAACATCCTTTTAGACGAAAACTTCTGTCCCAAGATATCTGATTTCGGTTTGTCTAAGTTATGCAAAACAAAGGAGAGTGTTGTGTCCATGGCATGCGCTAGAGGAACAATCGGATATATCGCACCAGAAGTATTTTGCAGAAACTTTGGTGGAGTTTCTTATAAATCTGATGTGTATAGCTATGGAATGCTGATCCTTGAAATGGTTGGAGGAAGAAAAAATATCGACGCCGAAGCGTCTCGAACCAGTGAAGTATATTTCCAACATGGATTTATAGGCATCTTGATCAGTCTATGTGCTTGAATCTTAATGGAGTCATTGCTGAAGAGGAAGAAGAAATAACAAGGAAGCTGACTGTAGTGAGCCTTTGGTGCATTCAAAATAACCCATCTGATAGACCATCAATGGGTAAAGTGCTAGAGATGTTACAAGGGAGCCTTCAGTCATTGGTAATTCCACCTTGTCCTTTTGTATCTTCTCCTCTACGATAGCCTACAACTTACATTGAAACATCACCATTCACCAACGTTGCAAATTTAGCTCAAAATTCTAATAAAAAAATATGATTTAAATATTACAATTACGATAAAATTTTATAACTTTTTTTAGAAAATAATATAACTGTAAAATAATAATATTAGAATGGACTAATAAGTAATAATAAAATAAATAGTATAATTAGAACTATTATTATGATGTGGTAGAAGTCATATGTATAATAAAATAAATAGTATAAATTTTATATTTTTTCACCGAATGATTAAAGATAAAATTTATACATATGTATTGTTGTTGTTACCTGATCTAGTTCATGTTTATATGTATCTATTACATACAATTGTATGTGTATTTTTTGGCATTAGTCCCTGTATTTCTTTTTCTTCATTTTGGTCCCTTTGCCACCCATGTCCTTGTTTGATAGTTTGAATTTGGAGTTACTTTTTATATATTGAAAGTCGATGGCGATTGTTAGTGACTTGTTTAGAGATGTGATTAACTTTCGACGGCGTTTAATGTCCAAAAACTAATTTTAAATTTGAATTAATGTACGATGATTTAAATAAAATCATATCCATATAAAGATGAATTTATAATAAATTATTCATTTTAATATAATGTGGTAATATAATTCTTTAAATATTTTTCTTGTTAATTTCCTAAACAAGGCTCTTATAATTGTAATGTATATTAAAAACAAGAAGAGGGACATGGAAATTTCGTGGGGAGATAAGGAAAATGCAAGGGAGTCCCCACCTGTTGTTCTTCCCATCACATCTCCATCTCCATAACTTGGAATCGGGATATTGATGCCTTAAACCCTCTCTATTAAAACTTTGTCCACAATATATTGCATTTCTTCCCAACTGGTTTCCTCTTCACACCCTGTCTTTTAATCCTGATATTTCGACCTCTCCAAACGGTTTACTATTGACAATTTCGTCTTCAACCATGCATTTTATCTGGACTCGTATTTTAAACACAACCAAACACTGTCAATTCCCTTAATCCTCATCGTTCTCCTCAATCTTTTTCTTTCTTTTTTGGCTTCGACAATGGCGAAAGGTAATGTTGATCACAAGTTGAAGAGGCTAAGAGCATGGGTTCAAAACTATGAGTGGGGAAGGAGTGGGGCGGAGGCGGAGGTGGCGAGGCTCATGGCCTTGAATTCGGGGGCGGAGATAGACCCAAACAAGCCTTATGCGGAGTTATGGATGGGAACCCATGAATCGGGGCCTAGTGTTTTGGTTGATGATGAACAAAATGTGGATTTGGGATTGAAAGAGTGGATAGGAAAGAACCCGAATGTGCTTGGTGTTAAGGTTTTGGAAACATGGGGGTCTCATCTTCCTTTCCTGTTCAAGGTTTGTTCATTCTCTCCAGTTTTTTCTGCTTTCTTTTTGTTTTTTAGCACGAAAAATGGCGTATAATTTCGATTATCTTAAAGTCAAACTAGATTAATTCTCAATTGAGGATAAAATTAAACGAGATTCATGACATAGATTTAAATTAATGAATGAATGAATGAATGAATCGGATATTAATAATTAAAAAATATATATAATATAAGCAATTGTGGCGTAAAATAGGTACCGTCAGTGGGAAAAGCGCTGTCAATACAGGCACATCCGGATAAAGAAATGGCGAAAGAATTGCATAAGATGAAGCCGAATGTTTATAAAGATGATAATCACAAGCCTGAGATGGCTTTGGCTATAACTCACTTCACCGCACTTTGTGGTTTCATTTCCCTCCAGGTATTCCTCCCACCAATCGCCCATTTTACTTAAATCTCGAATCAAGTTGGTGTTTGATTGATATTAAATAATGAAATTCATGTAATAAGCAAATAGCCATGTATTTTATTTATTCAGGAACTTAAGCAAGTCCTTGAAGATGTTCCTGAGATTGTAGAACTGGTGGGTATTGCATCAGCAAAGCAAGTCATGGATATTCAGGAGCCAGATGGCGCCACCAAAGTCAAATCTGCACTGCGCTCGGTTTTTACGCAGCTTATGTCTGCGAGCAAGGAGATGGCGAGCAAGGAGATGACGACCAAAGCTATATCCAAACTTAAAAGTCGTCTGCTCCTAGAAAGTCAGGTGAGTAGTAATTGGATCATGATTGAGTTGTTTTTAAAACTGATTAGGAGTGTAATATTGGAATGGAGATATAAGTTGAAGCTGAGAAGTTAACTATGGAAGTGCATCTAAATTATGTATTTGGATCAGGTGAGAAGTCTGAGGGAGAAAGAAGAGTTGGTGTTGGAGTTGGAAAAGCAATACCCGGGAGACATCGGAGTGTTATCGGCGTTGTTGTTGAATTACGTGAAACTGAAGGCAGGGTAAGCTTTGTATATGGCGGCGAATGAGCCTCATGCTTTTTTAAGTGGCGACTGTATCGAATGCATGGCTACCTCAGACAATGTGGTCCGAGCTGGTCTTACTCCCAAGCATCGTGATGTCCAAACCCTTTGTTCCATGCTCACCTATAACCAGGTACATATCCCATTTCTTTTCTTTTCTTTTCTTTTATTAACATACCCCTTTACTTCGTCATTATTTGATAGGAAATTATTTGTTTCTACGTAACTTGATTGGGAGGGTACAGTTGTCTTTTCCCATGGGGCAATTTCTTTGACAGCATACAAGTTTTAGGTTTAAGTTCGATTTCTATAAGTAGTTAAACGTTTATTATTAAATAATTAAAAATCTTTTAAATAAATTTTATTTTTAATCGTCTCAAACTAATAAATGATTTTTAGATAAAATCTTGTTAATTGAGTGAGTGTTCATTTTTTTATTTATCCATTTATTTTAAGGTGTTTATTGCTTAGTCATGTGTTTTTAATTTGCCTATAAAAATAAAGATAAATATTAAATTTATATATTATTTTTGTGCTAATTTTTAATTTAATATATAAATTTTGACTTGATACAATAATGTATATGAAATTTTGATTTTTGTTTAATCATACACAAAAATGATTTAATTTAACTATATATATATATATTTTTAAATAAATTTATTTTGATCTTCAAAATATTTATATTTGTTTTTATATTAGATTAATGCTTACAATATATAATCATAAAATATTGCCATGTTGGTACTTGTAATAGTAATTTTGGAAATTAAATCAAATCAAATTTTATATATACAATTACATAAAGTTAGAGTTCCTAATTATATTGTACACTTAGCAAAAATTTATATATAATTCTAAGATATATAGATATATGTATATAAATATAATTTAAAAAAATTAATATAATTAGCTTGAATGCTATTATAACATCACAAGTTAATTTCCTCTTTATAGGCTTTAGAATTTATTCCAACTCTTGGTTTTCTTAAATAATTGCTTTTGATTTGTGTTTTACGGGTACCCTGAAATCCTTTCGGGACTTCCATTGAGCCCTTACATAACAAGGTACCTACCGCCGTTCGAGGAGTTCGAGGTCGATCGTTGCGTTCTTCCAAAGGGGTCATCGGGGGTATTTCCGGCCGTCCCTGGCCCTTCAATCTTCCTGGCCTTTGCAGGGGAAGGATCATTGAAAATTGGAGGTTGGGAAAGCATTGTTACCCAAGGAGATGTGGTGTTTCAACCTGCCAATACTGAGATCACCGTTACTGCCACTGCATCTGCGCTGCAAATTTATAGGGCGGGGATCAACAGCAGGTTCTTTCACGCCTTATCAATGTAAGAACAGTGACCTTATCAATTTAAGGTCAGGTGTTCAAATCCTGTCACTTGAGTAAATTAGGTACGAAAGACTGCCCCCATATTATATATATACAATATCCGATCCGGAATAGTCGATTAATGAATCAGATATTAGTGGTTATTAAAAAATGTTTTTATTTTTTAAAAAGGAAAAAAAATCAAACACAAACCAGCTAAATACAGCCTCTTAAAGAGTGGTTCTATAAATCAATGAATCTAAATTTAGTCTTTGTTAAAGAACAAAGAAGCTAGTTTTTTTTTTTGCAGTGTCAAATAAAAATATGCTTGAAATGAACCCTAATATGTCTGATTATGTATATTATCTGCTCAAACCATTGAGCCATGATAGTATAACATTAGCACCTTTCTCCCATGAACAATCCAACATCATATCATGCGCAACACCTTCAATACATACCGGTGACACATCGTAGAATCTGCCCGTCTCATCGAGTCCTTTGGCATCCTACATTTATATATATTGATCTATAAAAATGGGTGACAGAAACAAATGATAGTCTGATAAATAATCTCAAGCTTCATTACTCCCAACTCTTTATTTTTCTTTAGTACTCATGTTCGATATCATGTTCAATACTCATTCAGATATGGCTATGGGGAATTGAACATACTCGTATCCAATGAGTCCTAGTAATAGAGATCTCAAAGCATATACTTTTCTTATATGTATAATATTTTCATATGTTTGAAGTTTTTGATATGAGATGCGAGGAAAATAGAAGAGTGACAGAATATCGGAAGTGCATAAATTGGAATTGTAAGATAAGAATTTACCACTATGAAGTCATCTTTTGCACCCAAGACAAGAATTTGTGTTGAACAGTCGGTCATTTTAGGCACTGGAAGTGATGCGTTCAGCTTCCGGAGATCAAACAATGGCATCCTTGAACTTTCTTTCATTAGCTCCTGATAACTGAAAGAGGAACAAAATAAGTCAAAAGTCTAAGTCCACGGTTTACTATGACAGAACAATAGACACAGTTTCGGTAATGAAATTTGATTTGCAATACAATTTTCGATAGATTGGAATAAACATGTACAACGGAAAATATATTAATCTTTTCTTCAACAAGTGTGAACTTTTATTGTGGCAAGAAGATTTATATCCTTCTATAAAGCTATTGGGCTCTGGCTCTTCAAATTTTCTTGAAACATCTGCTTTCCTATGTGACTCGGACTCAGTTGAGTACCGGATACAAATAAATGTTCAAGAGCATGGTCAATTGCTTTCCCAAGTTTTTCCATATAGTTTGAGTGTCTTTGGAGGATCGAATCTCCATACTCATGTTCAACTCCATGTTGGACATAGGTGTTAGATACGAGCACTTCAAGAACAATGAAAAGTCGAAGCAATATAGCTGCGTCCGACATGCCCATATCCAACACTCACACCCAAGTTAGGTAGATATTGTTGAGGTTCTACATATCTCCCTCTAAATTCTTATCGAGATATTACCAAAATCTGTTCTTAGTATCACTTAGCAATGAGATTTCATCAATTATGAACAAAACAACTGCAACTTCAAAATCAATGTAACAACTTATTCATTATCAACGATAATTCCAAACAAGTGAAAGAAATTAATGTTCGTCTATGTGAAAAGTAGATTCAGAAAACAAACCGTAGCACCAAATTATCCTCCATTGTAGCCGAGAAGAAGGTTTCCCTACAAAGAGGCAGTGAAGTTTGAAAAGCTTTAGCAGCTAGGCTACGAGTCACCTGCATGAGGAATGGAACTCAACTAATCACCCGTATGCTTTGTCATGAAAGTTAACAAAAATAATTAAAAAGAAAATGTATGATATCACAGAAAACTTGAATACTCAAATTTGACTTGCTTGAGAGTTCAAGCTCTAGCACCCATTAAACAATGACCAAATCTGAATTCAAAATTTTCAAGCTGAATCCGATAAGCTTGTAAGGCAAGTTTTCGGACTAGAGTGCTCAGAATCCGGAAGTTTACCTTAAACGCCGCAATGGGCTTGGAAAGGAGATAGCGCCACACTAAGCCACTGAACAAAATTGTGAAAGTTAAGACTCGAAAAGTTATTTTCATGAAAAATATAGCGAGTAAGATTGCATGAGAAATCACCTATTGCCCGAAGGAGGAACTGAGCATATTAATGCAGCACCTTTAAGTTTGGGGTACAAATTTTGCATTTCTACAATCATTCCATCAGCATAAGAAAAAACATAGTAAGAAATTGCACTTTTTTTCTTTCTAAAACCACTAATCCCATGTTACTAATATTTGGGTGCAAGTGTCGGATACAGCCTACAGGTATATATCCGATAAGGGTATTGTCCTAAGCTTTCTCCATATGTTTGGAGGATCTTTGAAGGTCATATTTTCCTATCCATGGGTCAATCATGAGTGTCCACCATGGCCCATGGATGCTTCAAAAAAAAAATATGAGTCTGAGCAACATAGACTACATCAATCAAAAGATTCAAGACCAATTTGATGAAATGAAGACTTTTAGGGATCCGAAGCATGCATCAGAAAGCCTAGTTGAAATACGAAACTAACTTATTGATTCATATATCAAGTCGGGTGCATACAACATGCCTTGTCACACATACTAGATTTCATATATGACATAGCTATGTTGCTCTGACTTCTTTTTGAAAAAAATATCCGTACTCAACACCATTGTTTTACACATATTTAAACATGGGCGCCCGGATATGATCTCTAAATACAGGGAAAAGTTAAAAAAATTGAACATACCCCTGTTAGACACATACACATCTGACAGTAACATCACTTATAAACAATCAAAAGATTTCTAAAAGAACCATTTAGAATAGTAAAGGTTTTTCAATTACGAAACAGTAGTATTTGACGATTCATAGGTGTTCAGGATGTGAATCCATTACAACGAATATTTTGAAGGTTTTTCAACTAAATTTAAAAAGAAAAAGGAATAACGACTAGTGTAATCTCCGAGAAAAGTAAATCTAGTTTTAGGAAACCTTATACACCATGTAGACTTCTGTTTATGCCTTGTTATTTGTTACTTTTCTCTTTCTCAATCAGTACTATTATGCTACTCGAATTCAGAGATGAATATTGATTACGGAGGTGTGAGACACGGATATGGTAATTCTATTTACATTTTTTCATATGTCTAGAAAAATATAACCCATACTCACAGCCAAATATGTATTAGATATGAATGTCGGACATATAAACTTTTTAAAATATAAAAGTTGTAGCAATATAGATGAATGAGGTATATATACTTATACCAGAATGTAGTTTATGTCTCATGTTTGCAATGTAATACTGGATAATAAGGCCTCCAAACGAATGTCCAAGTAAGATCGGTGGCAAGCTGAGGTTCCTCTCGATGAAATCTGCAACATCGCCTGCATGTGTCTACAGATAATGAGTGAACGGCCAATTAGAGGAGGAATCTTTGTAAAAAGTGTGAAAGAAAAACACTATTAATAGGGATAGCAGATCTAATATTCGGATTTGAATCTGTAAAATTGCTGTAGAATACAATCTATTTACTATTCACATTACAGGTAAATATCCTCTTGCTGGATACCCGAATTCGACAAATATACAAAATTAGCAACTCAAAATCAATTTTAAAATAAGAACTTCCAAAAGAAAAGCAATAATGATTCGCAAGGCTGAATCTGAATCTATTGTTTGTAGTAGTATAACGGATTCAGCAGATTTAGATAATAGATATTTGATGATCGATATCTGCATCTGCTACGGAGACTCGGAGAGTAATTGGAATATCGAAATTCAAATATTACCAGAATGTGCAATATCTAAATCCGCAAATGATAAACAAACCGTAAATATTCAAATCCACATTATCTATCATTATCCCTATTTTCCGGCAAAAAGAAAATTACCTGAAGGGTACCAGCAACAGCTCCAGAAGGTGCATCGCTTTCACCCTACCCATAAGCAGAAACAGTGTTGAAATTAGTACAACATTTTCGAAAACAAAAAAGTTTCCATGGAAATGAAAATTCATAAATATGTCAGTAGTTAAATAGAAAGCGAGAAAAATGCGTCTGAAGCTTACACTGAAGTTCAATATTTTAAAGGTAGATGAAATATGATCCAAGAGGAACAAACTCATCATGTTTATTCAAGTACTTCCATTCATAAAACCTAAAATGTGCAATAAATATATGAGCTATTATTTGATAGCTGTAAAATATTTTACACAAATTTCTATTTTAAATATACTAAACTCAAAACTAAATATCAAATATAACACATATAAGTTTGTGTAAACACACACACACACAAGAGTGGGGAAAAAAAGAAAGGGAAATATTAACAAGAGTGGGAAAAGGAGAAAAAGATGATATAACCTGACCAAGCAAGCTAAGGGCAAAGCAATCAAACCCATAATTTGAGAAGAAAGGCAACCAATGTTCAGCCCAACACCAAGCTGAATGGTAGCTTCCATGAATGAAAACCAAAGGCGGATCGTTTTTCGACTCTGGGTATTTTTCTTTGACGCTCTTTTGAATGATAACCTCCATGTTCAAACCAGAGGGAAGCTGATGGAAAATACGCGACTGCCCTTGTTTCAGCTCATAGGGAACTCTCGTTTTGAGAGGTTTGTTGAGGACAGCGAAGGGAGTTAAGGCCATTTTAGGAGTGTGTTGAATCGAGAGAACAATCGCCATTGCTGTGCTGGGAAAGCTGTGCTTCCTCTTCAGTGTTTTTGTTTAAATCCGCTTCTTTTTCGCATATAGGATAGAGAGAGAGAGACGTTCGTGAGTCCCAATTAGCTTGGGTTCCGCCTGAATTTATGTATGATATATAATTTTAAGTTGAGTTTAGATAGGCTAGCACATTTTCTCTTCATGTTTTACCAATTTGGCAACTAAAACTTCATTACGACTATAAATGCTTTTCAAAATTTTAACTTTATTCTTTTTTATTTGAAGTGTTCTAAAACATTGATTTCATTTTGAAAAAATATGCTCGTAAAATGTTTATTTTAATATAGTTTAATCAAATAGCTATATTTATAATAACAATAAATAAATAAAATAAAAATATTATACTTTTACTTTATATAATAGTTGTTTCTCTTAAAAAAGGTATTTCATAAAATTTAACAAAAAAAATTAGATATTCTATGCTCAAACAATTATTTTGATTATTAATTTTTTCAATTATAAAGTAATCATTAATTTTCAAACAGATATAATAAAGTTATTAAAATTTATTGAGTTATTATAAAATAATTATTAAATTTTATCAAATTATTATATTTATAAAAAATTATAACTATTATAATATTTATTTTATTATAATTTAATAAATTTAATGATTCTTTTATAACTTCTGAAAATTTAATAATTATTTAAACATAATTCAATAATATTTTATATATTTTACTTATAAAACACCTGTAAACAAAACTACATGATTTAGAAAAAATAAATTTTGAATATTTTTAAATTCTGAAAATAAAATAAAATCAAACTTTAAACATTTGATAAAAAAAACATTAGAGAGATTAAAAGAGATATAATTTAAATATTTATTTTAGATTAAATATGATTTTTTTCATTTCTCAACTTTAAATTAATAAAAAAATGTTAAACTACACAAATGGTCATTGATTATTGAGTAAATTTTCGTTTTTCCTATTGAAATTTTAAAAATAATAATTTCATCACTAACGTTATTTATGTATAACAAATCACCGTTAACAAAAGTTACTGAGATAACGGAATGTTAAGCTAAATGACTTGGCTATCTAATGGTCAAAACTACCGATCAAAAGTAGTACATATGAAAGATAGAAAGCTAAAAGGGTCATCTCCCATTTTTTTTTTTGGATAAATCAAATTTTATTATCCAGAAGAGCAGAGTTTTGCTACAAAAACAATCAACCAATCAGAAACAAAACTAACAACAACCTACTATAAAAGACAATGGTTGGTTTAAGTAATACCCCAATTAATACAAAGGTTAGAGTTTATTCTATCAGCTCTATTAATATTTTTACCCTTTAGTTGAATTCGTACAACTTCAGCAATATCCTTGAGCAAATCATCAGGTGATCTGTGGCGACCTTGGAAGATTCTACGATTTCTTTCCTCCCACAATGTGTAGATATAGGCAGTCCAAGCAATCTTCAAGATTGTGGTGAGCAATGATTTCCTTTTCATGATGAAGAAGCCCGAGTAACCATTTCTTCCCATGAAGATGAAACATTCTTCAAGCCATTAAGCGAAAGGACAGAGTTCCAAAGGCGAACAACAAGAGCGCATTGACAGAAAAGATGATTTCTTGTCTCCTGATCGTTACTGCAGTTAACATAGGTCCCTTCAGTGGAAATTCCCATTTTGAGAAGCCGATCTCTAGTAGGTAATATGTTTAACAAAGACATCCAAGCAATCAAACTGAATTTAGGAATGTGCATGGGAAACCAGATTAGATTCTGCCAGGGAACTTTCTCTCTTTTGATTCGAATAGATTCCCAAATGCCATTAAGCCTAAGATAACCAGAAGAAGATAATACTGTGAGAGCAATAGAGCGCAATTTTAAAATTCTAGTAACAGTCCAACTCACATTAGAACCTGCAACAAAATTCTAGAAATCTTGATATTTGAAAACATAAGATTTTAACCATGCAACCCAAAGCGAGCCATCACCCGCTAAGATTTTCCTAATAAGATCAATAAAACATGCTTGGTTCCAGATTTTAGTGTTCTTTAAGCCAAGACCACCTTCGACTTTAGAGAAGCATATATCATCCCAGCTTACTCGAGCACCTGAAGCAGACTTGTCTTCACCTTTCCAGAAAAATATGGAACAGAGTTGGTCCACTTTGGCAAGGATCGAATTTGGGAGGATAAGCTGTCTGCACCAGTAATTCGAGACACTGAAAAGAACAGAACGGATGAGTTCGAGTCTGCCAGCGTAGCTCAGATTTTTAGCAGACCAATGATGGAGCCTCTGTTTAATTTTTTCAATGAGCACTACACAATCCTTCTCAGTAAGTTTACGAGTAACAAGAGGGATACCTAAGTATCTCACAAGAAGGCTGCCCTTTTTTGAAACCAGTGATATGTTGAAAAAAATCCATTGATCTAGAAGAACAACCGGCAGAAAAAATTTCACATTTGGAGGAATTAAGAGTCATCTCCCATTTTCTTTCTTCATTTTGTTTCCTTCTCCAAATAACCCTAAAAGCTTAACTTTCTTAGAGTTTTAGCAGATTCAGAAAACAACCGTAAGCGAGCATTTGGATCATTTGCTTATTTGTTATCTCATACATAGTCTATTAAGCCTCCCTGGAACATTCACACTTCCTTTTCTTCTGTAGATTCAAGGCTACGACTATTGCATTGTTATGCAGATTTGGCTTCCGATTCAAGGTATTTTCATCCTTCTTGCTTTACTAAACTTGCTCTTCTTTTTCTTTTGTTGCTCCATCTTGGATGCTTGAACTTGGGAGTTCAATGACCCATTAAAAGTTGCTCCATTTGATAATATTTTATGGACCAGACATGAAAATCGAGTACTTCACGATGAGAACATATCAGAATTCAGACACAAAAACACAAAAACAGTTTTTGGAGTTGATGATGAAGGGACCAAGTGAATTTGTGGACCAGAAGATGATGAATTGTGGACTCAATCAACTCCATTCCATGTTTTCGAGAATACCTGAAGATGTTACTGTGCTCCAAGGGTTTGCTTCTAAGTAATGACGTCTCCTAGTAATGAAGATTTGCAAGGGAACATGTTTTAAAGATCTTCAAAGGGGTGAAGTTATGTATCATAGAAGCTGTGATACTGGACTTTCTTCGATACTCTGATTTCTACTTATGTTTCTTTTCCTTTCAAGAGGCAATAACTGTAGCAGAAACTAACTCGAAATCATGAACAAAATCAGAAAGCTATGATAAACAAGATCAATCATCACTATCCCATCATTACAAGGTCCTAAGGAGTGATCTAACATAATTATACAACCCCTTGCTTTTAGAGGAACTGAAGACTCAGAGTCGCGTATTTTGTGTTTATCTATGATAACAGTTTAGCAAAGCATGACAAAAACAGTTCTCAACTCATAATTTCTGCCTTCAGATCACAGCAGCCGCAGTCATTATTGTAATACACCATCAGGCATCACAAGAAAACTAGCATTTGATTCACACACAAAACGCTATCACAATAACATTCAGCGCAATTTAACAACCATGGACTGCAATTGCAACTAAACCCATTCTTCTGGGTTTTACAAGAAAAAGGCAAAACCCAAGACACTAAGTTCACAATGAAACCCCTTCTTTCTGGGTTTTACAAGAAAAAGGGTAAAGAAAATAAAGTTCTAAACTTGAGTGGCTTTCTATATAGCAGAAAATTAATCGAATCAAACCCATTTTTTTCTCCCAAGAAATTGAATGGAAAAAAACGGACCCAAAGCTTACCTCCTTTTCAGAAGAAGATTCAGAGGGGGGATCTTCTAGTTGGCGTTCATCAGAAAGAACAGGAGGTTTAGCTTTGACTTGTAAAGAGATTATGGATTTAGCCAGTTTTGAGGTTTTAGGGGAAACAGAGAGAGATATAAAAGGGGAAGAGTTGGGTGTTGAGAAGGGATAAAAGCAAGGGTTTAGGTATGTGTGGAGACATGTTGCAACCATTTCTTCTTCTTTTCTGTTTGGATTACTGCAGACTGGGAATTATCAAATTTGCTTATGCTTCTTCTGTTTCTTACTAGTATAGAGTGAGTAATTAATATTGACGATGTCTGTTGGCAGCATAGTTGTTTTGAAATACTGATTTGATGATACAGTGCTTTAAATATTAAATTGACGATACAACACAAACGTAGGGTATCAAATTATTTATTTAAGCATAATTCTAAATTACTTAATATTTCACATTTACATTTTAATATTCGTAATGTTTAAATTCGAGATTTAAAAAAATAATAATTTATTTATTATTAAAATCGTTTATTGTATACTAAAGATACAAATATCTAAAAAATATTAATATTAAAACATCAAATTAAAAGAGAAAATATGAGAGAAAACATGAGTGACACGTAGAGTCATCATATGTTACTTGGAGGTTGAAACATGAAGCTGAGACAGTAAAGAATGACAGCCTCTCATTTGTTCCAACTTCCATAATAATAACACTGAAAATACCAAAGCAAAAGAGAAGGAAAAGAAGAACATTCAAATAATTTCGAAAGGAAATTACAAAAGAAAACAATGAAAGGAATATCACCACCGTCGACGGCGGCTATAATCATCCATTCTCATCATCACTATCTTAATCACCGCAGCCTCCATCAAACCGTCAGTGCCACCTCTCGGTATCAATCCCCGGACCCCATAATATTAAGCTTACTTTCATAGCAAAAGCGGCCGATTCAACATCTCAGCCTTCTGCTACAAAAACCATTGTCAGTGACGATGGATTCTCACTTTCTAAGGTAATTAGTCTATCATTCATACTCTTTTTTCTTGTGAAAATAGTAAAAACGGATATTTTGACTTTTTTTAATGGTTGAGTTTGATTGTTTAGATGAAGTAAAGGTTTGGTTTTTGAGACAAATGAAAATTTGTATCTTTAGTTAATTAGTTTGGTTGATTTGGAACAAGAGTTTTGATTGTATTGGATTGGGAGTTGTTGAACCATTATTTAAAATCTAGTATATTTTTGACAAATTCACATCCTTGATTCTGATTTAAACTGGTTAGAGATTTTTTTTTTAATAATCTAGAGCGAGTACAAGGTTTTATATGTTCAGGATCTATGTTAACCATTAACAACACTGCTGGAATCCGGGACCTCTAAGAAGAACAACACTCCTTTTTAGCTACTGAGGTTGCTTAATGAGTTTGGTTAGAGCAGTAGTTGGTATATATACAATGGAAAACTTCATTCATGAGTAGCAGAATTATCTAGTGAAAAACTGGAAGTGAACCACCAAATTGCTGAAATCAATACAATGAGTCAGGATTTATAGTTTTATTTCAGTTGAATCTCTTCATCGAATGATGATGTGATCAGGGAAATATGTCTTACTTTGACAAAGAACATGAATATTGATAATTGTTCATTTGCAGCTTTCATTTGGTGTTATCGGACTCGGTGTTGGAGTTTCGCTCCTCTCGTGAGTGCTTTACCTGTTAGCATTTCCCTGTTTCTCTACTGTATTTTGGTTTATCCCTCATTACAAGTTGAATATACAGGTACGGTTTTGGGGAATATTTTAACATTCTTCCAGGATCTGAATGGTCCGCACTAATGCTGACTTACGGCTTCCCTCTTGCAATAATCGGAATGGCCCTCAAGGTAAAGGTTTTCTTCCTTGGAGTCTGATTGAAATGGATTTTTGAAATCGCTCTCTTATTTCCTCATTATATGGTAGACTCGGATATCCGAAATTAGGACTTGGACGACATTGTTACTTGATACCTGAAGGTCTTACTTTCAAATATGTTTTAAATTTCATCCTGGCTTAAGTTGGTGCAACTGGACTAAACATTTCATCATAATCACATCTGGAAGTTGAAATTGCTTGTTAATTAGATCTTCCTAATGGCATGGACTACAGATTAAAAACCTTCATAATGTTCTTCCTACTATTCATTTTTATTGGAGAAAGCCTCGTGTTTGACACATCAGGATGTGATTGGGCTATGATATTCCGACGACCCTCCACATATTATTATCTCTGAAAACATATATATGATATTCAGCAGTTAGCTTCATAAGTTGTGGTTGTTGGTTGTATTGCAGTATGCAGAGCTCAAACCGGTGCCATGCTTGACCTATTCAGATGCTCAAATGTTAAGGGAAACCTGTGCCACTCCTATCCTTAAGCAGGTACTTTCGAACTCTGGAAATGCCAACTTGTTTACAAAATCTTTAAGATAATCAACACGAGATTCTTCAAGAAAACCCATTTTCAACACTCATAAATGAATCTGAGTTACTTAGTTTAGCAATGGCTAAATTAGGTGAAATTAATGTTCTTCAAATTCAAACTTGAAGTTGTCAATATCACTGGATGATATCCATTCTTATTTTACTTTACTCTCTTTAGTTTTGTGGATCACGTCAAAAAATGACTTTTGTTTAGCTTTTATTAGGTAAGGAACGATGTTACAAGATACCGTTATGGGGATGAACAGCATTTGGATGAGGCATTGAAGCGGATTTTCCAGTTTGGTTTGGTATGTCTTATGTCATCTCTGACTCTATATTTGTTTAAGTGCTCATGTTTGCTCTTGCACGGAAAATGAATATGGAATGATCTCTAAGGATCCTCCTAATACATAGAAACACAAAGAAAAATATTACCATACCCATGCTGAACACATATCCTGTCCGACACTCACACTTGAGTCCAGGTAACATATGATATGTCTTTTAATTTGTAAAAACCTATCATGAAAATTACCGAACATATCGGGGGAAATTGCACCTAATTTATTGCTTATTTGCCATGTGCTGTGAATTTTCTTGTATCTAAATTTAAGTTTTTGATTTCAGTTCTTTTTCTTTATCAACTCTCAGGTGGAGGAATTCCTCGGAGAAATGCACCTGTTCTTCAAATGATTCGGGAAGAAGTAAGTCTTTCGAAATTAGATTTACTCTCTAGCTTGAATCTGTTTTTTATTTCCAATCATAAATGTAAAATGTTATTTGGCGTCTATAATTCCCAACTCTTTTTTTCCCTATGGCATATACAATAATAAATGTGATTTCTCAAGAATATTTCGGCACTATGTTGCTGTAACTCTTCATTTTGTTTGAAGTGTCAGTATTTGGCTCGTATTCGGCCAAGAGTTTGGGGATATGAGTTATGACTCTCCAAACACACTTCATATAGATGAAGTTTTTGAAAAAAACAAAATTGAACATATCTGTGTTGGACTCAAAAATATCCAACACCTATACCCGAATTCGGGTAACATAGTTTAAGCATCGTTCCATTTCTAAAGTGAGGTTTGATTCTTTACTCTTATATTTGTTACTATGTCTTAGGTCACAGAAGATGGTAAATATTGTTTAGTCCTGGTGTTTGAGGCTAAAGCTTTGGAGTTGTCGGATTTCGAAAAGAGACAGGTAAACTAGCAAGCTATGCTTTTCACTTTTTCATTGTTCTTAAAGTATCTGTGTTTGGCGATCGTGTTTAAAACATTTGGACACGGGTGTAGAGATGTAAACCTTCAAATAAATGGAAAAACTTGAGAAAAAAATTGAACACATATGAATCTGAAATTCATACTCAAGCCAGATTAACATAGTAAGACATCTTTGGAAGGTACAATTCGACCAGTTGATTGACAGCTCTAGTTTATACCTCTTAATAGATCTGTTCATGCCAATTTTGGACAAGGCATTTAATAATTCAAGAATGGTGAACGTTGCAGAGTTTGTTAGTCATGATTTCTCTCTGATGTCTATATTCTTTAGTTGTATTTTCTGAGCTACCAAACAAGTCTGAAGTTCATTTGGTTTTCTAACTACGAAAACTTGCTGATCTGAACCAAATCATGACTGCGCTTTGTAGGCAAAATTTGCATCTTTCTTTGGACCAGACATCCCAGCTGAAGTTGGTGAGTTTTCACTTTGTAATCCACATGACATGCACACACAAATATTTCAAATTAAATAGTTAGTTATGTATGGAAGCTTATAAAGTTTATGGTTCAGGGAAGGGAGAGAATGATGTATATGAAGTTCGACTTGTTTCAAATTCCACCTCTAATGCATCAGCTTCATGAAGTATACCTGATTTCCTCGAGTTTCTTAAGAGGGTTATTTGTGATTGTTTCCGTTCCGGATTAGTCAATTAATTAATCGGTACCGGTCCATCATAAATATATAATATAATAATTAAATATTTTAAAAAGATTAATCCTACAAAAGGATACAAAAATTCGTAAGAGTAGTTTAGTTTTAGAATAAAAGCAAATCCATCATAAATATTTACCATGTTTAGCGGGCTTTAAGATGAGGAAAGCATGCAATTTTGGTGGTAAATTTGTGTTTGTTTCTCTGCCTTCTTCTCACCCACGATAAGCAATTCCACTTCCTTTCTTCATCCTTTTCTCTCGTCCGAATCTTATCATCTTCTTTGTCTATGATTGCTTCTTCTTTCTTCTCTTTTGTTTCTTTCACTTCATCCTGCAAAACCCTCATTACCAATCAATTTATTGTTCATCAACGCATCCACTTTCCTAACTTCTATATATATTTATAAAAAAATTACTTCAGTTTATATATATATATATATTCATTGATCCTACCCTCGATTGCATCAAGAGTATGAGACGAAATTCTTATGATACGACATCGTGTTTTTATTATGTTTCTCTATTTTGTAATGCGTAGGTTGAATTATGGGTACAGAAAAAGAGGCTACCTTGGAAGGACATGCCTCAATTATTTCTGCAACAAAACAGCCTGCTTGCAGACTTGCAGTGATGGACTGAAACAGTGATTTTTACATATTTTTAAATATAGATTTTTATATTTTATTAATAATTTATTTTTATCTAAAAATTTCATTAATTCACATTTTTTAAATATTATAAATTCGTCTCTTACCATAGATTTTTATATCAGTGTTTTACTACTTGGACAAAACATGTTAGACTCAAAACGTAGGTGTTGTGGCCACAAGAGGCTGGAGGACCAACCAATCTTGAACAGTAGTCCCCCACTTTGGAAGGGCACAGTGTCAGGCAATCCTAGCTGTCTTATCTTTGCCTTAAAAATATAAGCCACGCAACATGCAAGATTTTGATGCATTTAATCTTCAACATTCATGCATTGGGCCTCTCATGAAAGCTGTATCTTAAAATCAATTTAAGCACTAAAATGACATGAATTTTGGAACTCCTTGTAAGCAAGTTGAAGACATACCTGTTCATCAGATTTTGATTTCGTGTTAGAGAATGGTGAATCTCCAGTTTCAGTTCCCGATGGATTTAATGCTGTCTCCAAGATTGAAGGGGTTGAAACAGAGCTAGGAGAAGTGGGATGGGGTGGTGGAGTTCCCTCATCTCTATTTAAGCTTTCAGCTGCAATCACATGGTTGACTAAAACTTCAAAAACCCAATCTTAAATGAAGCAATTTCAGCACTTCAACTTAATTATTCAAACCAAACCTGGAATAGGGGAACCAGCAATGTCTTCCTCGACTATTGTTGAGGGGTAAACCAGTGGACCAGAAACGGTGATTTTGTTTGCCAATTTTCGAAATGACCTTCCACTCAGCGTTTTTGCCGATAAACATTCCATCGGGAACTCTCCCGACAGAGGGTTACAAATGTACTTCTCGGCTTCGTTCCACTTGGAGTTTAAAGCAAACACCTCCGGTGAGCATTCCAAACTATTATACAGTGACCGCGCCTGTAATGCTGCACCAAAAAAAAATCCAGATTTTTTCATGCAAAGTTTTGGTACAACAATGATTTACAAGTTACCTTTAAGAGCCGCGGTGAATGAATATGTTGAAGGGTCGATTCCAACTGTAAAAGCAATGCCAAAGTTGAGATTAAAAAACCAAATTCTCAATGAAAGATGAGCAAGAGAGGTACCTTTGAATGAACATGCTGGAGACGACGTGGTGCTGGAAATGGTGAAGTTGGATGGGTGTGAGCTTGTATTTCTGATATATGAACCTGAATATCTTCTTGAAACAGTGTTTTCATGGCGGATTCGAGCTTTGAGACTCCACTCTCTCAAACTTATCTCTGGTTGTTCCGGGGCGGACGCCATGAATGAAACTACAATTTGAGCTGCAAGGTTCAAAATCCGCGTGGAATTTGAAGCCGCGAGTATTAAAATATCAGAAATCCGAGTTTATCTTATTTTCAATTTCCATTTTGTATTTTTTTCGATTTTAATATTATATGTATTATTGGTCGTGAATTCACATAGAAAAATAGTAATAATAATAACCCTTGAATTTTTATTTTTATTTTCTTAATAGATAATAACCCTTGAATATTTGGATTCACTTTCATTTCAGTATCATATACCTCTTGTATGAATACTGCATTAAAATATTTGAATACAAAATTTATTTGTGTATATAAAAAATTTATAGAAACTATTTTTTATAATTAAAATGATTTAAAATTAAAATAAGTTTTAGATTTTAATGATAATATTTAAGTAAAAATAATTAAATAAAAGTTCTTTTAATTTTATAGGTAAAGTACTCAAATATTTTTTTTATATAAATAATTATTATTCTCGTCAGAAAAAAGCCATAATGATTAGGACTGATGTCAATTTTGGAAAACATTAATAATTTTGTCGGATGCATAATATTCTGAATGGACTCCTCTCAGGTATGAAGTAGACCTTTATAGCTCCAGGGTTGAATAGGTTTAATGCCAATTAGGGATGTTCAAATTCAATTACCCATATTTTCGGGTACCCGAATTATCGAGTATCTGATTTTTTGGATAGTATATTTGTTGATCCATAATTCGGTTCATTAAGTTTGGGTACTAGGTAGTCAAGGGTATTCGGTTCATATATATATTTTTTAAATTACATAGAAAATACATAAAATTTAAAAGTTCATAATACACATAATTTATACACAAAAATTAGTGATTTGAAGTTAGTTTTAAGGATAAATATATGAATATATATATATATATTAAAGTTTATTTTCGAAAGAAAACATTAAAAATATTAATATCGATCTTGATTTTTTCCTTCGATTATCATATTCACAAATTAATAAAAACTTTTCGAAAAAAATTAAAACTTAAAAGTACATAATAAAAACCTAGAAAAACTTAAGGATTTAAATTTAGTTTTAAGGTAAAAATATTAAGGAACCTAAAATAAAAACACAATTTAAACCTATATAAATTAAAACTACCGGGTCGGGTCAGATACCCAGTTATAAAAAAATTGGTCCAAACCCGGGTCGGTTCAGATAATTATTTTAAAGAATTACCTAATTTTTTAAAGTTCGAGTCGACAGATCAACCGAGCCAAGTATTTTTAAACATCCCTAATGCTACTTACTCTATTTAGACGGAATCATTATTGCTATTTACAGCATACCTTTGGATTTTGATGTTCCTTTTAGCTTCAACTATCCATTCCATGCCTCAATATCAAAACTCGGTCAACATTTTCATTTATTTCATCTATTTATTTGTGTCCCAAATTTATAGTTTAAGGCTACGAGATTATTGTATATCGTATTCAACTAATATAATTATATCACCTCTAATATCGTCTAATCTATTTACATCTAAATTTTATAATTAAAACTAGATAAGATCATAACTCATTAAATGACCTCAATAGTTAAAAATATTTTTTTTTTCTGTAAAGGTTTTAGATTTAAGCAACTACCTTTGTAAAGTGATCGTATGTTGTTAATAAATTAAGAAAATTTTAAAAAAATATTATCTTATAAATATCTCGTATTAATAAAAAAAATTAGATATCACAATCTTGATCCTTGACGACGGATGAAAAGAAAAGGTAGGTCCTGTGGGTGTGGCTGCCATCACCACTCTTTGAGGAATCGAGGGTTTGCAAGTTGATACCGAATTGATGGCGAGTGCCATGTGATTGTCATCCATCACAAAGAAGTTAGAGGAATACGTGGCCTTAGTTTTTGTCCGACTCTGAATGTAATGCAGGTTTCACTGAAAGGGAGAGGACTGTTGTCTCTGCCACTAGTTTCTTAAGTGGCGGATCACATGTACTCGAGGGTGAGCACCAAGGTTTTCAAAAATGGTCCCAACCGCGATATAACGGTTTCGCCGCTGTCCGAGTTACCTACGACGGCCGCAATCACGGTAAATCCGAAATAATCGAAAACACGACCGTGACCGCGATTTGAAACCCTGGTGAGCACAGTAAAATCTGATTTTTCTTTGGTTAGTTACATCATTTACAAACACTATTGTCAACATATTGGTGCAGTTATCCTTCTTTAATGCAATGTCCATACAGGCCGCCACCTCTTTCAGCACCTGATGCTCCTGTTGGTTCAAGAAAACAGTGTTTTTGTTCTCCAATATTATGTACATATCTTCAAGTACTGGTTTTATGGACCAGTGCACCCGTATTCCCTGTTTGAAGAAAATCTTTTGAACAAAGTTATCTGTGATCCAGATGCCACAGTATAACAGGTTTATGTTCTTAATCATAAGTAAAATCTCTCTAATGGTAGCAAGTTTAGCAGTTGCCATGCTTGTTCCTTGCACCAGATTGCAGATCCATGAAATGTTCTTGTCCTAATACACCATGCCATGCCACAGAGTGCCCCCACTTTCTTCTAGGCAACAACAACAATATTAGGATAACCTGTAACATAATCGGATCCCTCAAAATGATCACCAGTGTTGAGGAATGCTTGTTCACATAAACAGATGAGGTTCTTAGCTTTCTGCGAGACTGCCACCAAGCTCGGGGACTCATTTCTAGAGCAAACTCCAATCCTATGAATCTGTATGCACGCATAGTGCATGCAAAGTCCGGTCATCCATTCAAACTTTCCGGCTGGGTCCTTCATGTTGATCCAGGAACTAATCCAATTCTTCATAATAGGATTGGTATCAGGCTCATGATTTAATTCATAAATGAGTTAGGACATCAAACTGGTACTCCCCTTAATACGAGTTTCAACCTCTACAATCTCAAGAAAAGAAACCATACAATATATTTTCTGTCATAAAGGGGTATTACAGTTTGATAAATACCTTCCATTACACTTCCTAAGATCAAAATTAATAAATTGCCTCCACTAAACTAAATTTCAAGCAAATATCCCGAAATTTGTCATTTGAAGCAACTTTTTCCCAAAACTATGTTCGTTTTTTATGGGCAAAAAACTATGAAGGGCAATTAATAGAAGTACCAAGTTGTACCCAGGCAAATTCCTGTTCGTAACCTACACCTTCACAAGAGGCTTCACATGTATATACTGCAATTGTAGCCCAGTCAAGAGAATCCGCATCATTCTTCACACCAAAGAAATAAAGTAACTGAGGCAATATCTGAACAACAAATTTGCATAGAACTTGTATTAGAGACTTCCTTTTTCAAGTGAAAATAAAGACCTCGATGAGGAATTAATATTTCTAAAATCAGCAAAAGATCCACAAAAATTTATCGTGCAGAATTGATAATTTTTTCTCTTGGCTTTGAACTTGATAGATAACTGGGCTTCCATGAAGGTAAGATTAACAAGTACCTGAAATTCGAAACATAGGCGACCACCACAATAGCTGCATAAGGGAATATCAGCCTTGGAAGGGTGACCACCTAAGATAGGCCACAGTGGCTTAGAACCAGCACTCCTACAATATCTGTCATTGTTAAAAGAGACATATGTGATCAGATTTCTTTTAAAGTTTTCCCATGTATTTGGAGGGCATTTGGAGATCAAAGTCCCATATCCATGAGTCTGAAACAATTGTTGGACACAAATACTTCAAGAAAAATGAAGAGTTGGAGCAAAATAGATGCCATCCTCCATATTAAGGTAATGCAAAGTGTGCAGGGTGCTTTATGGTTTATGCAAAATAAGCATTGCAGAGTCACAATGCATAAGTATTTTCTGATGGTACATATGAAGTAGAAAAAGTGTACAAGTTCTCACCTCAAAACTTGTTCAGGAGCCTTGGCTATCCGCTCTTGGAAAGAAGCCCAACTCTTTTTGTCACCATCTCCCTATGCAACAGAGGTAGCAAGCATTAAGATACCCTAAACAAGAATTCATTCACATGCCACTACAACAGCTAACAGTACCGGTATCAATACCTCAAAATAATCCATAAGTGATTTCGTTGCACCATCAACCCTGTTCCTCGTTATCAATGAATTATTGGTATGTCCCTCATCTCCAGACATCTCTGTATCATATTCACTTTCGTGTTCATTTTTGATCTCATACTCTGGCCACAAACTCTTGCTTGCAACTGTTTAAAATGAAAAATTTAGTAAGAGAGAATTCAGAAAGACCCTCAACCAAAATTTGTTTAGACTCTGCAGTTCAAATACCCGTTCACTCCATTCTTAAAAATTATCCCAGAAGAAAATGGAAGAAAGCTTGGCGATTAACATGTCAATTTACAAGTCAATAACCCAGGGTAATATCAATTAATGCTTGCCTTTTGGGGCTTTAATTTGTGCAATTCCACCATGACAGGCACTAGGCTCAGGTGACTGAGGTGAAAGACTCGGCTGTTGACATTCAAGTTTATGACCCGAGCGCCAGTGCATGACCTGAAATGTAAGAAAACAGAAAAGTTAGGTAGGTAAATAGACTTCAGACAAGTGAGAACAACTAGAATTTAACACCTAACTACCTGGTGCTTTTGTGAGCAATATCGTGCTACTTTGCAACTACTGCAAAACTTATCTCCTTTCCAGGTGCCACACCAATTGCAGAGTGGAGCTGCAACATGAATACATGAGGATAAAACACATTATGAGCGTGAATGCAATTGATGAACCCAATTTGAGTTGGCTAATGCAGTGATACAAGAAGAAGATAATGTTGACCCCTGAATAAAGTGATCACTATAAAGTAATATCAAGGAAAAATCGAGTGCATATAAACACAAACAAGGCAATTAAGAAAAACCCACATCAATGTCATCTTAAGCCAGTACTTAAAGACATATATAAACAGAACTAAAAATAAGAAAAGAGCACGAAATCAAAAGCACTGGAACTCACAGCTGTTCCATACTACATTGGATACGCTCGAGAATCATTATTCTCGTGATGGAAAATGCTTTCTTCTTTGTTATTTCACCTATCCTTTTTAAGTAATAATATGGGTTCATAAGAAACTTTGCATAAAAAATTAAAGAAGCTTCCCTCTTTTAATCACTTCTCAAATCTATTCAAAATTTCAAATCAAGCAATCTGCAAAGAGAAACTTGTAAAACAAAATTCAAGTTTCCCAGTGTATACATGATCTTGGTGGGAAAAATGAAGAGAGAGATAAATTGTAAAAAGAAACCAGTTTGTTTGATGAAAAAGAAAATAAAGAAATCAAGGATGAATTAAACAACTACATTTGAAATGCTGATAGTTTCCCTCTGCTTTCCTCCCATTTATGGATGAACTAAATTTGAAAGATTTAAATGAAAGGGAATTCCTTCCTACTACTATTTCCACCTAAAGAATGACGGGAAATGCAAACTCTTGTCTTTCAATTTATTTATTTATTTGTTACAACTTTCCCCTATTGCTCTGGCTAAGACAATTCCAACCAAAAGTTGGTAACTTAATGCAAAACTCATCCCTTCAAATTAAAGCACATAGTGAATGGTGAGATTATAAGATCTTACTCCAATACAAACTTAGTTATATTCTCATACATAGATGTAATATACCAAATAAAAAATCCATTTTTTTCATAAAATTTGAGATATATTCAGTAAAATTAAGAATCCAAAGTTACCTCCAGGGGTTAAAGGTTTGTCACTCGCATTGACTTCAGGGGGTTTACTTGAATAATAAGGATTAGTTCGTGGCAACTGGCAACGGAAAACCTTCACACTTGAGAAAACAAAACATAACTCAGCAAGATAAAGAACATTGAAAATACTAACATTGAGAGGGGAAAAAAATGAACGTGACAGATATTTGTTGATATACCTCCTCGATTGCTTATCCGGATGACGCTTCCATTGTTCATGTTGATCTCGGAGAAGACATTTCATGGATAGACACATAAATACAAATAATGTTCGATGAAATGTGGAGTCTTTTTCGACTAATGGAGCATAAACCTAGGCATTCAGTCAATATGAAAATTAGCACTATCAGTCTAATACAACAAAATATAAAACAAAATACGACATTTATAAGAATTGATTCGAGTTTAAAGTAGAGCTCAAGTCTGACAGAACATTACAAAATAACCACACACAAAAAGTACCTGGAGTAGGAATTGCAGAGGTTCTCCGCATATATCACAAACACAAGATATTCCTGAGGGTAAATTATCCGGGTCCAACCAAGACTACAAGAAAACACTACTATAAAAATCCCGAAAATGCATATGCTTTTTTTTTAATATTGAAATAGCTAAGCAAAAAAAAAAAAAAGCTTACTGGGACGCCTCCAGCTTTACTTGGAAACTGTTGACGGAGAAGTGACCAGCTGTGTTCAGGCTTTTCAACGAACCCAAGAATTACAGCTTCATCATCATCGTCTTCGTCGTCGTCATTATCATCTTCATCTACAGCGATGTCTTCGTCATCTTCATCATCATCAAGAGGAGTAAATCGCAGGCCCTTGAGCTCATCCATGGAATCTCCCTTTCCATCAATATCCATCTCGTTTCCGATTTATTAATACAACCGTTAAGTGAAGAAAACTGTATCAAAATTGTTAAGCCTTTTTATTTGAACCAGATGCAACAGAGGGATAAGAGAACTGAATAATCAACTGCGGTAGTGGACTGGTGCAAGTGGATTCATCTGGCGTGTGCCGAAAGTAGGTTAAAGCCTAAAGTGAGAGTATCGTACTTGGTTTCGGCTTTTAGCCAGAGGAGTCGCAGACCGGAGATGGAGAGGAATCAATGGCCCTAAAAATTGGTAAGCCGGCTCATTACTTAAATGGTTAAAGTTAAACAGGCTTTAAAAGAGCCCAAATACATAAATCATCATATTATCAAAGAATATTAGTAAAACATCCCAAGTCCTAAACTATTTAGAGAATACGAAAGAATTCATATAATAACACAAAGTAGCCCACATGTGAGTGGGTATGACTTCAATGGAAGTCACCTACATGGAAACTTGGAAACATGTTCTTCCCAACGCCCGCTGCATACCCATCTCACCGCTCCTTCTCCACCGAGGCACCCAGATCCCAAGCGTTGTGCACCCCACTTCTCATTTTCCTTAGATGCGTTATTTCTCTTTTCACCGTCGATTTTGGCTGCCAGTTGACATATATCTGAAAGATTTCTCTGATTCCGACGTCGAGTGTAAAGGCATAAGGGAGCTTCACCGCAGGACTCACCCGTCGAGCAGGGACTAAAGTTGCCCTTAGTGAATCCACGATGTCGAATGGAATGGCCCTCACTGTTTCTTTAACATTGAAGAAGTTGTATCTACATCCAGGTATCAAAGATGAGTCGAAAAGAATTTAAGCAGTTACAAGTTCGAGTTCGATTCGAGATAAATAAAAGGTAAATTAGGTTGTAGTCACAGTATTTTAGATTACTTTTCACTTTGGTTATTAAACTTTTAAAATTTGTATTGCGACCACTAAACTTTTAATTTGTTTTTATTTTGATCATTGTCGTTAGCCGTCGTTCAGGAATGTTGATCCATGGTCTTGCACGCCTAGCGGCTCGTAAATCAAATCAATTAGAGAAATACGAACCATTTAGTTGGGAAATAGAGTTACGAAAAGCTTTTGACAGGTGAAAAGCAGCCTTAAGTTCCAACAATCGTACTAGTTTTGGAATTGGAAACAGATGCTTCAGGGGTAGGTATTGGTGCAGTTCTGATACAAGAGGGAAGGCCAATAGCTTATTTCAGCTGAACACTCAGTTCTCAGATACAATGTTTGTTATCACACATACAGTAGGAAAATGGAGACAATAACTTCTAGGGAGGAAATTCACCATTATAACAGATCACGAATCTTTGAGGGAAACACCTGAACAACAACGTGGGTTATCGAAATGATTTTGATTTCAATATACATTATCGACCGGGAAAACTGAATATGACTGCCAATGCGCCGTTGTACGAGCCATGCAGAATGCTGACGGCCTTCGTTTCATAGTTCTATCATTTGAATACATGCAGGAATATTGAGACTATTTCAATATTTTCATCTAATTTCTATTCCAAGGGAATGAGAAGGGATGTTAAGAAATTCATAGGGGAATGTCAGATTAACCAAAGAATTAAAAGTAATAATTTATCTTCATCTGGATTATTGCAACTATTACTAATATAAAAAAAGTATAACTACACGTTTAGTACCTAAACTATTACTTTTATTTCATTTTGGTACTCAGTTTTAAAAAAAAAATCAAATTGATACCTAACGTTTAGTTTATTAATACCGAAACTATACATGACCAATGGTTACTGTAAAGGAGACAACTCATCTTCTATAAAAACTAACAGATTCCTTCTTATCTTCAATTCTCTTCCTTTCTTCTTCTAATTTCTGCTTTGGAAATTCCATTGCAGGAAGGATGGTATCAATATCTCTACCAAAAAAACCAAAAATGCAAGTAGCAATACACAAGTCGTAACTAAAGAATGAATGAGCTACAAACAATGAAATAGAAGGTTGACTCTCTGAGTTACAAACGCATTTAACAAAACAAAACCAAAAAAACATACGGAAAACCCTAAACTTTCATAGGTTATGGTTAGTTTGGTTGCATTACATAACTCTATTTTTGCAGAAAAAACAGAAACTAATTCTTAAATTACTCTCCGATCTACTCGTTTAACAGATTTCAATCTTCATTCTCACGCCCCCTTTTGGATCCATGTTTTGTAGACTCTTCTCTCGTTCTCTGCGGTTTATGTGGCAAATTAGTTTAGGTCCTAACGAAAAATACCGAAGAAATACATTAAAACTTGAATTTTTATAACCTTTCTTTTTGAACCTTTCACCCTTCGTTGACGTCCTCTATTTTTCGTTTTCTGTTTATCCTAGTACAAGACAATAGATTAGAGCTTACGTTCCTGCATAGATAATGTTCAATCAATAGAAAAAATCATATTTCAGACAAATCAACCTTTGCAACAGCATCAACTGGAGCATGTGTTTCTGCAGCGATTTCCTGATTATCAATTTCCCCGTCACTGTTGAGCATAGTCTTCAGTCTACCTTCCTCGAGTAATTTCTTGGATCGAGCATGCCTCTACAATGATAAAGGAAGTTTAGTTAGATCTGGCATCGATTTATGTGAAACGAAATAAGCAAAACAAAGCTGATGCCTGGAACCATCAATTTACATCCTGGCACCACATATAAATGTTGAAAGTGTACAATATCATCAATTCACATCCAGGCACCACATCGTATCAAACTTTGTATCATTTCCTCGATTTGAAGGTCAACAAATTCTATATAAAAAATTTCCATAGTCAAAAAACTTTTCAGGACTGGATTGGAGATTGGCATATGGGTTCCCATCACTGGTGTGATTACCATATTTCACTACAAAGAGAAAACAAGTAAGCCAGATGTCTTACCTTGGAACTAAGGTGAGCCCTTATAGTCTCCTCATTCAAACAGACAATTCTAGGGCACAACTTGCAGTTAAAAACCGATTTGCATTTCAGTATACAGCTTGGGAAATCGTTCGGCAACGGTTCTTCTTTGGTTGGGGTATGCAAGTTTTTTCCCTGTAATTGAGCACCGTGTTTAGTATGCAACTTATTGTTGATAAATATCTGTTTATCATCTCGAGGTTCCTCATCATCATCTATAAGACCTGGAAAACCAGGTCATATTAACCACAAAAATAAAGGAGCATTTTTTTAGAATCAACATATCATGCATGTTAATATTAAATAATGTCTAAATGAAAATCATTATGAGAATATTGATCCTTCAAAGACCCAGTGAATACATGGAAAAACTTAAAAAAATTATATAAATATAGGGATAGGATCCTATTACCGTTGGATGAGTGAAAATAGATGGCTGAGATTAACACTAGAAAATGAGAAGATATTCACTAGGAAAAAAAAAGCAAAGAGTTAATCTCAGTCATCTATTTTCACTCATCTAACGGTCCTAAATCTATGTTAAACTAAAAGAGTTTTACATTGTGTAAGTGGATACTAACCCATATATATATATATATATATATATTTATATACACACACTTTTGACAACCAAATACCCGAATCTGACACCTGCACCCAATTTCAAGTAAAATAAATCTTTCCTATTTATAAATACCTCAAATATAAAAGAGAAAGATACAGACAATGTTAAAAACATTAAAAAAACTGTATCAAAGGATGAGCATGAGCAATTGTTGTGTTCTTTCCACATTTACAAAGAAAGATTCAGTTTACTTATGACATTTTAATGGCTTCAATTGAACTTCAGACTTAATAGATAACATGACAATTTTTAAATATTAACGAGAAAGACAAATTAACAGCTGAAATTCATACCGTGTCAGACATAGCTTATATACTTTGACATGGAACATGCAACACTTTTCTCATTTACAGAGTGAGACCAACTAACCTAAGATGGATTTTAATGGCGCCAATCGGATTTCAAACAAACAAGATGTCAGGAAAAGTTCTAAATGCGGACTAGAAAGATAAGTTAATAGTTGCAATCTTAGTGAATTTCAGACATGGCTTATATTTTTTTACTAGAAAAATTGCAACACTTTTCTCATCTATCGAGAAAAGAGTCAGCTTACTTGGAACATATTTTAACAGCATCAATCAAACTTCAGGCATATAGATATCAGGACATTCTAAATACAAACTAGAAAGACAGATTAATAGCCGCTATTCTTTGCAAACTTCAGGCAAATTTTACTTGGAACATATTTGAACTGTGTAACACTTTCTTTAACCATATGCATGAAAAATTCATGAATCAAAGTTTTGTTTCTCATGCAAATCACGAAATTATGAACTCTCTCAAATCAATTATAAAATTATACCTGCCGAGTCCACACCAACTTCATGTGCGGAGCTATCCTCGCTCTCGTACCCTAAAATCAAACAAGCATACAAATTGTTTTACTTGAGCAACAAATTGTTTTACTTGAGCAACAACTTGTTCTGATAGATGAAAACAATTTAATCTCGGATATGAACTGATTGATGAAAACACATTAAAGTTTGAGGATATATACAAGTCATCAGTAAAACATAAGAAATAAACCAGAAGACGTGGAGCAAGCTTGATCATGTTGTTTTACTTGAGCAGTAACTCCTTGTTCTGATTCAGGTTCAGATTCTCCCGAGGCTTCCACTTCAAGTTCAGAGTCCGAAGATGACGAAGACGAATCCGACACATTATCTTTATCACCATGTTCAAATTTATAGAATCTCCTCTTTATCATTTCTTTTAACAAAGTTTCTGGTTACTGTGACAACATAAACAAGATCAAACGAGGAGATTAAAAATTTATCCCTATAATGAATTTGGTAATTCATACTTTCGAAGGTTTTCATTTTAAAGTGAAAGCTCTCGAGATCATTCATTATAAAGATAAGTATAGAAGAAAGTATAAATTTTCTCAAAGTCAAAACGAATGGGAAAAGCTTACGCGGAGCTGGTGACGGCAGAGCTTAGAGAGAGCGTTGCAGGGTTTTAGGTTAGAGAGGAATAACAGTCTTCTTTCGAAAACTGAGATTTCATGTTTCAACATGTGAAGTTTGGGCCTTAGATCTGCACTAAAATCCCATGAGTAATGGCCCATGATAGAGTTTTATGTTCTCAAAAGAAATATTCTTCACCTGACTTAGTTTCCAGGGTAAACTACATGTTTAATACATAAACTAATATTTTTATTTTATTTTAGTATCAAACTTTATTTTTTATAATTATACATAATGTTTAATTTAGGTTTTAATTTGGTATCCATCATCAAAAAATTAACAAAATTGTTGATTAACATTTTTTATTTTATTCAATGATGTAGCATTAATTTATAATGACACGTTAACATCACCGTTAAGTTTTTAATGATGGGATACCAAAATGAAATATAAATCAAACATCAAGTGATTTTTAAAAAAAATTAAGTTCTACACTAGAATAAAAATAATAATTTAGATATTAATCTTTAACTTTGAAATAATATTAAAGTATTTTTTTATCTTTTTAGTGATTTTGGATAATTGATATCAATGAGAAGTATATCTTAATTTGAGAGAAATAACTATTTCTTAATAATTTATAAAAATAAATTATCTATTTTATCATAAAGTTTGAGTTTATAGCTCGAAACTTAAATAGATAAGGAGTCGAGTGGTTGAGTAACAATCGTAAAATAAAAAGAAAGTGTAGGATAAAAAGAGAGAAGAGAATGGCAAAGTTCTCTGTGGGGTTCGAAGAAGACGGAGAAGGGCCAAGCAACCGTGTCCCTAAGCGTCAGAGGGCGGAGCGTGTTCTTGATATAGAAGGATCAGGTCAAGAAGAATCCGAAGAAGACGAAGAATCGGAAGGCGAGGAAGCATTTGAAGGAGGAGAAGAAGGAGCAGAAGAATCTGAAGGAGAAGAAGAATTGGAGGAATGTGGAGCTGAGCAAGGAGCAATGAGCCCTCAGACTACTCGAGATGGATCTATTTCAATTACGTTAACTGACCCTGAAGTTCTTGATTGTTCCATCTGTTACGAGGCCTTGAGTATCCCTGTTTTTCAGGTTGGTATTTTAATTATTGGTTATCGAGTGATTTGGGATATGGGTTTTCTTTTCTTTGGTGAAAAACGTCCAATTTTTCGGTTATTTTCTTTGTTTTATGGTGAAAGGATTGGGTTTTTGGAGTGGGTTTTAATTTTTGGGTTAAAAAGGTTTCGTATTTCAGTGTTTTCCCTTTAATATGCACCTGAGTTTTTTATTGGTGAAATGCTTCTAAAATTTGTTTAATTTCTTGATTTTGGCCCATAGATTTTACCTGCTAGGGTAAACTTTTCAAATTCATCGATGTTTTCAAATTATATTTCTTATTTTCTTCATTTACAGTTTGTGTTTCTCTTTTCAACTCATATGTTCTTTAAATTTATATGAAATGAATCCATCAACACTAGTTATTCATGCAAAACTTTGAATACTGATTTGGGGCATATGATTATAGAGAATTTGCTTAGCTTTGGACTTCGGTCTATTAGTTGGTATTGTTCATTTATACTTTCTGGATGAAGACGAGGTTCTTCCATTGAGCAAATCTGCTTAAATTCTATAAATGAATACTAGGATAGAAGTTGTGTCTGCTCTTATTTAATGGACTGCTAAAACGAACCATATGGATGGTGAATAAAGTGATTGTTAGCTTCTATGGAAGAGGATGATTCATAAGTTGATGGATCATGAGAATGATGTGGAATTCTCATATTTCATATTTCCTATACGAATTTGTAAGGGAAAATAAGTAAAATAGTTGTTCTGAGTTAAATCTAAATAGCTATTTCAAAATGCATTGCAAGTTTTCTGTGTACTTGAAGGGTCTTTGGAGGGTCATATCCCTATGCTCATGTTGAATATCTGTTGCATGGGAACATAAAGAAAAATGAATAATTAGTGCAATATATTGAGGTTTAGTAAGCCGGTAACCTTTTCCTACTGGCAAGATCTTAGTTACATCTATAGTTTCAGGATTTTCAAGTTATTATAAATAGTCAGATATAAGCAATATTGGAAGAATAGGTCATTCCTATCTCTCTTTAATCATATAATTAAGACATTCCGGGTCCCACAAGAGTACTTTTTAGGAGTGTTGTCAATATTTGGACATGCAGTCGCCTGTCAGTAGAGGAAGGATGAGCCTTTCGAGATTCTAACCTCTTAAGATGATTGGGAGTTATGTTGTTCCGACTTCAAATTTTCTTTTAGCACCCATATTTTTGGATATGGTATGGGATAAGGCCCTCCGACTCCGAGTACTCTCCATATACATGGGAAAACTAAGAAAAGATTGAACATATCTATGCTAGACACATACCTGTATTCAACACTGACACCCAAGTCTTAGTAAATGTAGACGGGGAAGTTGTTTGTGGGTTTTAAAGTGTTGTTCATATTTAGACGTGTACATAATGACTTTAAACCACTTTAACATGTCACCGTGATTTATTTAGACCTGTTCAGACCAGAATTTGTGGGAATGAAGAAAAACCATGGAATGTTTAATTCTTAGCTTCTTGTAACGAACTCTTGAAGGGCCATCTTTGATGTCAACAAAAGCTTTTTCATGGTTTCTTACGTAATTTGTATTATTTTTATCCTTTCGAACTGAAGGGTGTTTTGGTGGATGGATTTGGCCTTTTCCGATGGAAAGATTTTGTTTGATTGAAATATCAAATAAATTTCCACATTTTTGCAATTTTATTATTCATTTGTTCATGCATTAAATGCATCCTGTTAAATTTGTATGTGTTTGATTGGCAATTCAGTGTGAGAATGGGCATATAGCTTGCTCTACTTGTTGTATCAAAATGTGGAATAGATGTCCATCCTGTTCAACTCCGATTGGCTACAGTCGCTGCAGGGCGATTGAGAAGGTTTTGGAATCCGTCAAAGTGTCATGCCAAAACTTGAAGTACGGTTGCAAAGAAGCATTCAGTTATAGCTTGAAGCAGAAACATGAAAAGACATGTTCTTTTGCTCCATGTTCATGTCCACTTTCCGAGTGCTGCTTTGAGGGTTCATCAGAAGAATTAAGTGCACACTTTGGTAATGTACACAGGTATTCTGCAACACGTTTCCTTTACGATGTTTAGAAACCGTCACCATAGGAGTTTCTGAAAAGTCACTCATTCTTCGGGAGAAGATGGAAGGTCTTTATTCATTCTCCACAACAAGGTTGAGACTTTGGGGAATGTAGTCACCTTGAGCCGGATTGGACCCTCAACCGAGAGAGGTTTCTTCTATGAACTAATTGTGAAAGCTCAGGCTGATGTAAGCACTCTTAAATTACAATCCTCCACAAAGAGCAGTCCGAAACGGGTTGATAGCCCACAGTCATTAGGGTTTCTCCTGGTTCCAAGTCAGTTCTTCAGTGCTTCTCGGCAGATCAAGATGGACCTCCGGGTGTGGTGTTCCGATCAATTTTCTTGCTCTCAAAGACCCAGTGGTGCGTAATTCTTGTAAATCTTGGTGCATAAACCAATGAACTCCAGTTGTAGCAATTGTTATTTAAGTACTGCAAAGTTACTAATTCATAACCAAGTTTGCAGTTACCTTTTGAATTTAATTAAATGAATAATATATATGTTCATTTGAACTTCATAACCAAGTTTGCTCCATGAATATCAAATTACCTAAACGTGAAAGAGGTTAGGCGTTAGGAGGACCAAATTGTTCCAATTTCACATTCAATTTCAAACTACTCCACTGCACTTCATCCATCTAACCTGAAAGTAAATTTAACTCGTTTGGTAAGGCTGCCAAAAAGTGATTTTGGCTAAAAAAAAGTTGGTTTTAGGAGCAAAAGCAATACCAACCTATTAGAATTTAAAAGAATAAATATGTTTAAAATATTGGTTTGAAACCAACCGTAAAAATTAATTTTCCAACTTTTCTGATTTTTAATTGCGTCTGAAAGCAATTTATGCTTTTACCTTACGTTAACTTTGAAATTTTTAAATATAAATAATGTATTATTACATTTTGTTTCAATAATTTAATGTTCGTATTTTAAAAGAAAATTATTGCTTAATAAATTGTTTCAATTATCTGAAAGAAATTAAAATCTATGATTTATATATTAAAAAATTAATAGTTTATCATCAATATTAAAGAGTAGAGGAAAATGGATGTTCGCGTCAGTGGTCTTAAAAGAGGGGAGAGGCAGTCGGTCACTGTAGAGGCTGTCTCACATGACAAAAATAGTGCTAAGTCAGTCAGTTTACACGTTACATCAATATTTTGTCACCAAATAACGATTAGTAACATCAATGATCGATTTATTATAAATTAATAACATTAATTTTAAAACATCGTAGAGGAACAAAAACTTACGTAATTTACCCTTTCCATTTAATTTACAAAACTCGAACGGGGAAACGACACGATCATTATAGTTCACTTCATCCCCAAAGTTCAGCTTGTTTTCATTCTCAGATTTTCAAGCCATCTAAAAGTGCTAATAAAAAACCAGTGATATCTTTCGTTATCAAATGGTCCAAGTTACTTTACTGCTCTATCAAATAATTAATGCTTTAAAACTCTTTGTAAAAGCCCTAATTGATGAATTTACAAGTATAAGTCTTTATACGAGACAAACAATATCAATAGTTAAAGAATTTTATTATTTTTAAAGGTCAAACACGACAGCGATGTTTGAACGTTCATTATCAAATTATTGAAAATCTTATAATAATAATAATGATCCAAACTGTAATAAATCTGGTTTTTCCACCAACATTTTGGATTGCATTCATAATCTTCCAGTGCTTTGAAACGAACCCTTCATATTAATAATTATGCAATGATTTATTTCATTTTAATTCAAATTATAAATATTATTTTGAAACGAAACATCAACTTTCTGAATTACAATACATGAAAATGACGTACCATGAGGACCGTATGACAGGCTTATATGACATAATAAGCAATCTATTAGATTGAATCCATTACTTTAGTTTCAATACGCACCACTCACCGTGTATTGGGTTTCAGGTGTATTTATGAGCTTTGAATGACAATTTCGGTTCGCGGATGTCATCCTGACTCTGAATCAACCGGATCTCTAAGCTGCTTGATTTTGAATCAAATCCGGCACTTGTATAGTCATTCAATGTCCTCTGCAAAAGTGCCTACAGAAAGTTTAAACATGAATGAAATATGGTTTTGAAAATAAACCCTTAACTCAGAATAAAACTGCAAGGGTTTGTTGACCAAATAAAACTGTACAACATAAATGGAAGTTTTTCCCTCATTTATACAGCCGAAATCGAGTCAAGTCAAATCTCAAACTATAAGGAGCTGAACTTGAAATTCAAGCTCAATGAAGTTTCACTTTCAAAACTCAAGCTTGATTCCGGACAAAAATCAAATTGCTGGGTTAGCTCGATTAGGTTAGACTAAGCCGTTTACCCACTGAAAAATAAGTGAGTCTCGTACTTGACTTCAAACTCGATTACTTATTTTGAGTCGAGATTAACTAAATATATTAAACATGAAGCTCACAAACTACTAGAGACGAGCATCAAAATACTCAAATTTGATTCACTCAATAGCTTATGTTTACTTGAGCTCCAGCTTAAGCTGAACTTGACAATGACCAAGTTGAATTTGAGATTTTTCAAGCCAAACCCAAGTGACTTGCAAGAGCAAGTGTACTGCTTATACCCCTAGTCATGAATGCCTATGGTTTCCACAAATTAACCTAAGATGCTCGAGCATGAGAGCACAATTTGAATAAGCATTCCAAGGGGGGTAAAACTATATACATTTTATATCTATTGATTGGCCATAAGAAGAAAAAAATTGCAATCCACCAAGTGCAGCTGTTTGGGATGTAAGTGTTTGTGTAGAACATCCATTCAGAGGCCATGTTCAAGTAAAATCAGTAAGAACACTTTAACCCATACTTGATTAATGTAAATCCAATTTATACAAGGCCAAATTCTAAAGCCTTTGTAATTTAATATTATTTTTATGTTCTGTAATAGTTGTTCTAAAATTTAGAATTCATTAATCAAATTGCAACAACTTATAACTCGTTCACATGAAGTTTGTAGTGAAAGAAAGTCTTTTGCATCCTAGTGCTGGTTCATGGTTTCGTGATAACTCAGCCTAGATCAACAGGTAGACTAATCCTCAACAGATCCAAGATTACAAAGTTTCATCAACTTAAGAATAGGAATGATTAGCACTGAGCAAAGAAACAAGAAACCGAAAAGCAATTCATACCACAATGTTCAATTTGGTTTTGGTTCAGTTCTTATTAAATTCCATTTGATTTCTGTTTGCATAATAATTGAATGTATTTGTTTTGGCTTTCTATCAATAAGTCAAAAACCGTAATTACTGAACCAAATTGTATTTTAAATTTTTATACTCTAAAAATAAAATATTTATTTTCTAACGAAAAAATATTATATAACAAAGACGGATTAAAGAGATGAACTAATCTTTTTAAACAATGAAAGTTGGTTCGTGTCAATTCAGACTTCAAAAGGCAAAGTATTCAATTCAATTTTTAAAATCCAAAATATCACAAACATTCGTAATTTTTTTCTAAAACCGAGCCAGACCATTATCGCTCCTAATAATGAAGCAGGTTGAGTGCTGTTTCAAAAAGTACAATTTGCACATTAGATTTTGGATAGAATAATTACCTGCAAACTTGATACAGAAAGCTCCGCTGCCTTATCAAGGTTGTCGGGAAATTTCTGAGCAAAATAAAAAGTACAGCTAAGAAATTAAACCTTTATATAGAGGGTTAAGGCAGGAGTATAAACAAGAAAATTACATTACTCCACCCAAGAAGAAGTGCAGTCATTAGATCTCCTGTTCCCTACAAACATATGGATATTCATCAATATAATTTCCAACGCTGCATGGTCGGTATACAAATAATGAAGAACAAACAACAAAAGAGAACACAACATCAATGTCCTACTATAGTTGCACATAAAGCTAGGAACAAGAAAGCATAATTATGAAACTTGATTATCTGAAAGAGGGAAAACAACTGAAATGTATTTTTTTGTTACATCAAACATTCTAGCAGGATTAATTGCATACGTAGTGTCAGTGAACCCTTAGTTTTTACTATTCAAATATTAAAAAATATCAGAAGGTTCAAAAGAAATTCCCTGTAGAATTCAAGTTCCACCAGTAATGTAATATATCAATTGAACATATGATAAGCTGATATCTACTAAGGGTTATGATATATCCAGAGCATGGCTCTTAAGATGATACACCTTGCATAAAAATGCTGGGTTTGGATTTGTAGATAGAGATGAAATAGTATAATCATACTTAAAAAGTTGAAAAAATGTTCTCCTAGTAAAAGTTGCATTGCATTTAGGAACGACAAATTGTGGGTATATACGCCCAACAGACTCCACATCAATCCACTCTGAATGAAATGTTTTATTTATTTATTCATTTTAAAGCATGAGCAGGGTGCAGCAAATCAGTTTTGTTCAATACTTGTTTGGCTCCAACCATCTAAAAAACTATTTTACACCTTAAGATATTTTATATTATATATATATATATACAAAATTATGTTCATAAGTAAATTAGAAATATTTTTTTAGTCTTATATTAAAAATAATTAATCAAAAAGGAAATGTTGATTGGTTATAGATAATCAATATCATTGGAGAAAGGGATTTCCAACAACCATAAAAGAGTGGAGTATAAGGGTTATGTTAATTCCCACCACCACTCCGTTTCATTGACATCCCCTAAAATTAGCATTAAGCATGCTACTAGCTGAATAATGTTAAGGATATATTAGAGTTGCATGTCTGGCCAAGGGGATGACAGATCAAAACTTAACGTCTATTATAAATAATTAACAAGACTCACAATTCAAGGATGGAAACAGTCATCCAAACCTGCAGGCAGTCAATTCTAGTAAGAAAGAAGATACTATATATTATGCTTAACTTTTTCACTGGATGTACTTTTACTAGTAAGAAAGAGGATAATATCAAATTCTCTAGTCTCTCTACTTCTCAATATTTGAGAATTCAACAGCAGACATGGGACTACAAGGAAATAATGCATATTGGAAAAAAGAAGAGGAAAGAAAACGATTCTGCATTTTTTTTATAGATTAACTAGATCATTCTTTAGAGTTTATGACCGTAATTATATATCTTTAGTGTGTCTAATAAACACACATACACAATCATACATAAAAAAAAATGCACCTTCACTCAAGCAAACGCTTTTTATGCACTCTGAATCTTAGGCAGTATAAGAATTCTAGTACCTACAGTGCACCTAGCACCCTTGACGATACTGGTCAATCAACCAAATTTCCATGCTTGATCAAATACTTGCCCTTACTTAACATAGGAATCTTTTCATAATCACGGGGCCAAAAGCTAGTATTATATTCAAAGTCCCCACTGCATTAATAGTTTGATTAGACAGAACATATCCCCTTCAGAAGTCTGAGACCAAACGTGAGGGCTCTTCAATAACAAACAATGTGTTAATTCAATGGAAAATGTACTATCGTAGCTTGATTGAGTTGCATTAAACATAATGCAGCTTCAATTCCTAATCCTGAAAACTACTCTATCGTCATAACCCAAAATCACTACTTCATTTCAACCCCAAAAATCAAACGAAAGTCTGAGTGGACACACACACTTCCTTGAATCTATTAAAAGTCAACTTCCTAAAAATACCATAAAGAAAATATGTTATGCTTTCTGCACTCAACAGATAACTCGACTTTGGCCTCAAGCAGCTCAAAGATGTAATTCCAAGAGTTGTACCTGAAGTTCTTAAGTTACCCTCTTGGTAAAGGTTTACAATTAGTAGCGCGGGTAATAACTACCCTTGTGTTGGCTGAAGTCCATTGGTGCCCATGCATACAAAAAAGAGAATCAGTAGCACCTCCCTCCAAATGTTTTGGTTTGCATTGGAATTGCACATACTTTAAGAAACAAGTAGTTCATTTAATTGAATGCTTTTACTTGCTTGATTTGGTTGCCTTTAGTAATTTTTAATAAAATTGGGCATAAAACTGAAAGTAAGTTCTTCCTTATTTATTCATAACTGGATACAGTTTGTTAAAAAAAATGTCAGCAATGCATTAGTTCTAAGCCAAGCTACAGGTCCAAATCTCAGTAACATCTAGGCTTTCTAACAATACCAAGGTATCAACACAAACAACCATAAGATCGGTGTGCAAAAAACAAGACAGGATAACCTCAAGACCAAATTATCATAAATGAAAAGGTCCATGTTTCAATTTGCAACAAGCAGTTCATGAGGAAATTTGCATACCGTAAAATAAGCAGGAATTTTTGGTATTACAATCTTGAACTGCTCAGGAGCTTGTTTCTGTCAAAATCAATACCACAACAAACAGAGAAAAGCTTGTCAATAAGATAAAATTGCCAACAAAAACAGTGTACTAGTTTAATCATAAAAAATGCACAGAAAAGGCAAATATTGTTTCTTATTGCACATTTTGCAGATACTTATGAATCGCTAAATCATATTGGAGTCAAGCAAGTACAAAGATTTAAAAAATAAATTATATTAAATTGTGCGTCATAGATTCAGAAGCCAAAACCAGAGAGTCAACCAGTTGGATTTTGAATTCATAATTTCATCGAGTACAGAGAGAAGAACAATAAAAGTGAAATACTGCCATTTAGTACAACAGTTTACCAAAAATGACTAAATACAAAAAAAATCATAAATAAAAATGCATAACTGGTTGAACCGCCGTTTTTTTTTGTTCTGGTTCCTGACTTTTTAGCGGTTCACTTTATTTCCGACTATATGCCACCAGTAAAATCGGTCAAACCAACGGTTCCCATTCCAACCGGCCAATCTGGTCCGGTTTACAACACTGATCAAAGATGCAGTCATTTCAGTGCAAAAAAGCATCTATAACAAAATATAACACAGACAAGTAGCAGAAATTTCATGTAGATAGTGTTTTTGGACCTAATATTAAAAAGAAAAGCATCAGATTTCAAATCGGCCAGCAGCTTAAATATAAAGTCAAGTGTGTCACAATCAGCGGACCCACCTTATCTTTTAGATGACTGCCAATGAGAAGAAGATTGCCTTCTATATTGATGCTAGTAATCACAACCTGAGACAATCAACATTCACATAAAATGCTGTAAAGGAGATATGAGAGCTGAGTTCTAATTTATAAATACAAGATGTAAACACAGGCAAGAACCATATAGTGCTTTCCACATGTACTGGAAGATAAATGCGAGGTTTTCTAATCTCAGGAAAAAAAACGCTTCACTGGAAGAGTCCAGAAAGGTATATTTTCCACAACCATAACATGAACCACAGAACCCATTATACCTTCTTAGAATACAATTTACAGAAGCCATTTGAGAACAATGAACTAATATCATTTTTTGTGTCTCTACGTCTACACACATTTTAGGAGTAGGCAAAACTCCTTTCCCATCTTGAGTTCAAACTTAAGGATATGAGGCTTAAAGCAGAGTTGCATCCTATCAAAACCCAACTTGTTTTTAGTTTTTAATCTGTTAGTGTTGCCAGAATATTTTGGAATTAAGGGAAAGGCATGGAAAATCTGCCCAATTTAAATTACATTTCTTTTTTATAAGGTTAAAATAATGGAAAAAGAAAAAAAAAATATTCAGCCTTGCACTAGATGCAGAATGAAAAGAGGGAACAAATTAAGACAGAAAATAGTTTTTCATGTAGAAAGTTCTAAGCCATGAACGTGTACGAAATGCACAGAGGGAAAGGAAAAAAAACACCTTCGAAGGTCCAGCAGCATGAAGAATGTTGCATGCTTTCCGACCATCTATTTCAGAAGCAATCCTGCAGCAACAATATATTCTAAGAAACTGCAACAGAATGATGCAGCAAAAGATAGCTTACAATCGCGAATATAGCAAGACAAAGACCTCAAATAGTAAAGTCATTCTGATACAAATTGCCATCAAAGCAAAATGGATATGAGGTGCAGCATATAGGAACACTGGGTGCAGAGAGAGAACCAAGAGAATATGCTCGTGCAACCTTTACAAGACAGAAAAGAAAATGACTACAAATTGAAATGAAAATAAACCAAAAAAACATCTCTTAGATCCAAGAAAAGATGAGTTGGACAATCTCTGAAAAGCCTGAAGAAACAAGATCTGCTTTTGGCCAATATCCAGAATGTCACTCCTAGCAGACCTTTTGTGTTTTTGTTTTTCAAGCACATCGATCCAAAATAGGGTAAATAAAACCCATTATAATCACTAAAGAGCCTGTGAATTTGTTTATGTTCCTTTTTCTCAGTAACAACCAATTCATTTGCATTACATGAAATAAATATCCTGAGTCAGCTTTGAATCCGGTGGTTTTCAAATTAGACATGAAAGAACTGCTTGTTTTGAATTTAACCGTTCCTATTAATTTACCAAAACCTGAAAACCAAAGAACCACTTGTTAAAAAGCAACACACTCAATCTAATGGTTTCTAAAGATGATATTTCCTTTGAAAGATCTAGTTAGTAAATGATGCTATCAGAAACTCTTCTGTTGACCCAACGAACCATAATCAGTGATTCCCAATCTCTGACTCTAGATCGTAAAAGTCATCCCGTTCCCTAAATGGTATCAGTTTTTTTTTTGTCTTTTGCACCATACAACGAGAAGAAGAACCAAGCAATCCTCCTCGAAATCATACTGATGCTCATAAACAAATAAAACATTAAAAAACCTGGTTCTTCTAAAAATAAAAGGCTTGAGAATTCAGATTTTGGAAATCTTTTAGTTCAATTTTATAAGATATCAACAGTTTTGCCTTCTTGAAGCAACAATCCAAGTCCCAAAAGCTTCCCCAGAAAAAATAAACAAAAAGGAAACAACATTATTGTTTACAGCAAACGGAATTTTAGAACAAAACAAATGAGCTTCAACTTTTTTTATTATATAGTCTGAAAATACCTCAATTTAGTCAACAGTTCTGCTTCAAATTGGTTAGGAGTCAACATTGAAGCCACTGGGACAACCTAGCCATAAGAAATATTACTAGTAACGATAACAAGTTACAACTATACAATTTAAACAGCTAACTGTGCATCAAGATAATTATGCACATTTCTTCCAATATGATTAAACAATTGATTGATATTTAAGATTTCAATTTAAAAGTGTAGTCATGTATGAAACAACCAAATCTGCAGAAGGATATAGAAATGGAACAATTGGAAGCTTTCAGATAAAAATTGATAGCTCACCTTTTCACGATATATGGATACCAGATCTTCAGGGACGTAGAGCTTTCCTTCATCACCCATCACTGGATCACAAACTAGAGAAGAAACGACAGGCCTTAGAAAAAAGGACCTCCCTTTTCAGGGTATTTTTTTCGTTTTTGGTGGTGAGGGATAGGGTTGGGCAGTGTACATCAAACATTATTGAAGACAAGAAAATGATCCAAGTGGAAAAAAACATTTTCATTTAGCATCACATACGATAAACTGATGAAAGGGTGAGGAAGCGTTTTCTAGATCCATCAATGCAAACTTTTCATTTTATTGTTTCTGCAGTATTAGTACTTTCTTGAACCTACATTTTTGTCTCAGATTTGTAATTTCATATTAAGCAAGCAGAAGATGAAGAATACAACGTTAATTAGTTATATCGATAATGATTTGAACAAATCATCTTCTATAATCATGAGTTAAATTTATTTCAAAAAGGACCAAACACAAGCAAGCATAAAGATTAGAGTAGAGTAGACTTGCCATAGGTAAGATTTGGATTAATTGAGCGAAGCTTGTCTACAACCTCCAATACAGAGTTTAAAAAAGAATCAGAGCCAATATAACCTGCAAATTCACCATGAAAAAATTAAAGCAATAATTATCGAAACAGATAACCCTGTTGGTAAGAAAATGTGATGAATTTGACAAATAGCGGCAACAAAGAGTAAATCCACTAGTTGATTACAGAAAGAGAAAAATAAAAAGTGAATAGAAACAAATGGTGTTGCACAGCTATTTCTAATGTCTCAAAGTACTGATGAATTATCAATTCATTCAAATTAGTTAACTAATCAAAGCACAATTATATTAAATTGATGTTTCATTTTAATTATTTGTTAAATTTTTAATTAACTATGAATTTTGCCTTTTACCATTTCCATTTACTTGATAACAGCTTTTCAAAAAGCAAAAAAACCAAGTTTTAAGGACAACAAACAGGAGCCTAAACAAATTAAGAGGTTCTGGAAATTTGACCAATAACATGATTTTTAAACAGTTCAAGCACTCATTGATAAGAAACTATTATTTTAAAAGTTATTTCCCTTCCCAAGAAAATGGCATGATTTTTGGACCAGTTAGGTATTCATTGATAAGAAACTATCACTTTAAATACTAATTCCTTTTTTTGCCGTCCCGTCCCCTGTGTCAAGTTTAATGCCTCAAATGAAAAAAAAAGAGAGGCTATATTTAAGATATGAATAAATAAAACAACTGAAATTCAATACAAAAACATCCAGGTGAATACCTTGTGACACAAATTGCTACATATACAACATAGGATGTGTAATTTTGTTTCCTTTCTCTATAGTGAGTATACAATTCCAGAGAACCACTCATTTAACACAACAAAGAACTTCTCTTCTTCATAAATAATGTTATATGTTCCTTTACATTTAAATATTGTATAATAATTCTTTTCCTTTTCTTTCTTTCTTATTTTTATAAATGGAGAAAAGATTATAACAATCTATAGAATTTGACACCATGAAACAGTTTTCATTATCAAAGAGCAACCAGAAATAAAATACCTGTTAATAAATGAGTGTAGTACAATAAATTATTAGCTTCAAGGCCTTCTATTAAATCCAACAATTCACGTCCATTTAGAACTTGACCCTTAAATGTTGGGTACCCTGCACAATTTTCAGATAGATTAAACTATGCTAGATAATGTATTTTGGTCAGAAGTCAGAACACCAAGCCTGAACTTATACAGATTTACAGATGACATCACACTGAATATACGGCCTCAGATTTGCAGACTTTTGAGCAGTAATATAACCAGCTTGCCTGTATGATTCGAAAACTGTACCGAATTGATTGGATCCACATCATAGCCTAATAGTTGAAGAGGAAAAACGGCTGACTTGTTACCAACATATCCCTAAGGAGGAAAAAAAATGATGAAATTAGGTTACAATAGGAATAGAACTTATCAGAAAAATTATAATATTCAAAATGCTTTTCCCAAGATGAAATTGAGTAAAGGGCCCAAGGTAAAATCAATCATACAAATACTTCACTTGTATACGTCCAAGGTTCCTTTAATTGCTTCCTTGGAGAAACGTAAGAATTTATTCCAAATATTTCAAAGATAGAGAAGAATAAACCAGTGTACAGGTAAGTACCAATGTATTAAGGACCAATTTGACATTGCTTTTGAAAAGTTCGGCTCAAGATTTAATTGTCTAAGGTTGTTGTCAGAAAGTGCTTTCGAAAGATAAAATGTTTGTTTTAGACATTATGTTGTAAAATTCAAAAAATATTAATTTAAATTCATTAATATTATTTTTCATACATATATTTTGATATATTATATATGTTGGAATTACCATTTCACTAAATTAAGTAAATCATATAATTTTTAATCTTGATATATATTTTAAATATGCTAATATAGTTAAAATTTTAAATTACAAAATAAGAAAAATGTAATGATTTAATTTAATCGTTTTTAAATTCAAAATTTAAGTGTTTGACAAATGGGTAACTTTGGTCAAAAGTTTTTTTTTTTTGACTAAAGCCAAAACTATAAATTTCATAATTTGAAAGCCCTTGTTAACTTAAGTTGAAAAGCGCTTTTGGTTTGAAAAAGTAACTACCATCATTGTTTTTGGGTACAAAAGTGCTTCTGAAAAGCAATGGCATAAGAGCAAACAACAAAATTTCTACCTAGTTCTAGATGACATGAAACAATTATTAGGTAGATATTAAGACGTACTACACGAAGACAGAAAGATCGTGATCAAAGCTAGACCATCTTCTGCTTATCGTATAAATCTAAGATATAAACCTATTCTCTTAATGCACATATATGGACACAGATGAAAGAAAAAAAAAGCATACTGAAAGCAAATTTAAAATTATAGTATTGCCTTAAACTTTTTCAAAAACCAAACAAAGATTTAAGAAAGAAAGTGTAAAACGCAAAGGAGGCGAAGTACCTGAACTGTGTGAGATTGAATGCTGAGAACTCTACCAGTATTCGATGGAAGAGCCAATGATAAAATTGGAGGTGATGCCATTTCCTACTTCTTAAACTGTAACGATCTTTGACAACTTCAATAAATTCTGAAATCTAATCAACATCAACCAACAAGGAAATAAATTTAAAAAATTAATTTTTCCGAAGAAATTAGGTTTTTATCAGGGAAATCGTTAACTTTATTGAGAAATATTGAGTTTTTTTTTCATAAAATGCCCAATTGAAAATAAGTATGCAATACTTTAGATATTTTTGTTCATTTACTTGCGATATATGAAGCACGAACACGGGGGAACCCCCTGGTACCGGTGTCAAAGAGATGTCCAACACAGACAAGGACACGGACACGCCCGGATGTGTACGGGACACCACCGGACACGACAAAAGAAAAGGATACAAAGAACTGCGAACACGTTCAAGACACGGCAAAAAAAAGGAGGAATGCTTGTCCAGTGGTGACTGGCTGTGGTGTGGAAAAATGGAAGAAGAAGCAAAAGAGATGAAAAAGGAGGATGCAGGTTCTGAGAAAGAGAGTCAAAACCCTGGAGACATATACGATCCAACCCTACATAGAGGAGATGAGGCAAATCAGATTGGGAGATGAGACGAATCTTTCGAATTGAGTCAAAGCGGAGTTAGGTTAAATCCGTCAGCCCCAACCACACGACAAATCAGGTTCAAATCTTTTCAGAAATTTAAAAATACAAATTATTAATATAAGATTAAAAAGTAGTCAAAATAGATGTAATTATAAAATTTAATAATAATGTAATTTTTAAGTTAGATAAAGTAATATTTTTTAATAACATCAAACATTATATACTCTATTTACACTCATTAAATAACATCAAACATTATTATCCTTTGATTCAAGCAGTTGTATTTATAGGTATATATACGTTATTAACGATTAAAAAATATTCTAAATAAATATTACTTTATAATCATCAAAAATTATTTTAAAAAACTACATATTAATCATCATGGTTGATTCCACTCTTGTTAAGTTTTTAATAACAGGTTGATAGCAAGTCATAGAACACAATCAATTAAGGGAGGCGTACGATGAAACATGCAACTTCATTTGTACTAGTAAGGTTTTAATCAAAAATAGTATAATCAATATTGCTGTTGTTGTTGCATGTTTTATTATAAAATGTATCAAGAAGAACTAGTTAGAAAATTATGTATTTTGTAATTGCATGTGACATCGTAGCATGAACAACCCTTCAAGTTTAGGGAGACCCCTTATCACAAGGTTTGGATTACTCAACCATGCAAACTCATTCAGAAAAATCAAACGATGATTGCAATAGTTAAAACATCATCGTTTAAATTGTAATTATGATTCTACCCAAATAAGAAGGGATGAATCGTCATATCTTAACGAAACATAACATACGCCAACTTTGATAATATTTAAAATCTCGTTAGCTATATGTGGTGTAAATTATTTCTCCTTGATCATCATAATCATGAAAAGTGTTAAATTTTTATGTAGTTAGGGATTAATTATTTTTGTGACTCTATGTCCAAATCAAATAGAATAAACCACTTACGACTGTTTATCCAAATCAAATAGGGTGAATTGTTAAATACTTCCTCTAATTAGAATATCGAGATGATTTGTTTCTCCATTGATGAGCATTGGATGCATTCGTTCGTACAAACATGAGATGTCTATATGGCTTTATCATTAGTAGATCAATACTAAAGAGATTCTACGAGAATGCATTTAGGGAAAAGCTCTCAAAGAGATTCCTTTTTCCGTTCAACATGAAACACCTCTATGGAGACACCTCTAAACATATGTTGTCTAGACGATTTTCTTGGATATTATTATTATCGTAACGTGTTTGTTACACATTAAGAAAAACGATCACCATATTCATTTACCTTTATAAGAGAAGGTGATGAGATTATCCTTCCAATGAGATGTGGAGGAAGTTGTCATAAAATCCCAATATTTGGAGTTTCAAATTCCTCAATTTAATAAAACGGCAACATAAGTAATCAAAATTTAAGTTTTTTGAATTTGGTGAGTAAAAGTGTACAAATATAAAAGGTAAGTGACCATTCTAATGATTTATCCTAAATTAAATTACTCAGGCACATAAATAGAACAATAAACATTATTTTTATTCATAGTTTTAATTTTTATAGAGATAATATTAAATTTTCGCATATCATTCAATACATATTACGTACCCACAAATATCCTTACTTTTGACAAAACTAACTTTTCAAATACCAAATGAGGACTCTCTATTTATATTTGAGCTCTCTCTCAATTAATAGTCTAGATCGTTTTACATCAACGGCTAAGATCTACCAAATTAATATAAAATCTCCTAAATCAAGGAAACTTAATCCAATTACATCAATTATCAGGATTCTTTCCTTGGATAGGTGTTCACACCGGATATGATAAGATTCCCCCACAATATCTTCATGATTTGTTGTCTCTTCCATATTTACCGAGCTCCTGTGATCATCTTCGGATTTGATGCCACTTTTTTTTTTCTGCACGACCAATGTGAACAGGCTCCATAATATTCTTCAAGTGATGAGTCAAGTCACACTTAAAGTGTCTAAAAACAATATTCTTATATATTTCAAACACATACAACACATTTTAAGGCTTCTTCTTTGCCATAAGACTTAATTGTAAAATTTTAATTACAAACTTTAAGATGGTGTTTGAATAAAATAACACTCTAATCTAAAAAAATCAAATCAAATAGTGTCGGGTATCGAATATAGAAAGATAAAAAATTCTTTTATTAAAAATTAAAATTTAGGCCATTTCTCAAATAATTACACTTAACATGTGTTCTTTTTTAACCTTAATTTTAGTAAAACAGTTTGGAAGTTACCTGCATATCACAGGTGATCCGTTCTTAATGCCAAATTTCCTGCTTCAATGGACAGCCTCAATGCCTTAATACAATGTCCTTAAAATCCACAACTTTACTGTTCTCTCTCAATCTCATTGAACAAAAAACAAAGACAAAAATAAAACAACTTTCATCAACACATACACCAGTAAAAGAAAAACATGGATGATGCAGAGAAAGCCGATCTAGAACGCATTTTCAAGCGCTTCGATACCAATGGGGACAGCAAGATCTCGTCGGTTGAGCTTGGGGAAGCGTTGAAGACACTCGGCTCGGTCACACCTGAAGAAGTTACGAGGATGATGACCGAGCTCGATACAGATGGCGATGGCTTTATTTCCTATGAGGAGTACCTCGCTTTCGCACATGAAAACCGTGGCCTAATGAAAGATGTTGCCAAAATATTTTAATTTAATTTTTTTATATCTTTTTGGAAAGATTCACTAATTTGTGAAACTCAGTTCTTTTTTACTTGTCATGAAGAGAGAAGTTGTTGGTAGCTAAAGAGTGTAGCTTCATGTATTTATCTTTTTATTTTGTGTGTTTATTTGGGTAAGTTTATCTATGAATGATCTGCAATATCATAAATCAATTTTTCTTTTATATTACATGCATTTACATTTATGTGATGGTGTTCTATTTCCATTAATTTATATAAAAAAATTTAGTTTTACACAGTGCAGTAAGATTTTATCCCTATGTATATATATTTGGTATGCTTAGTCCTTGTGGGTGTGGGATGACATAGACCCTATTGGTAGCATTTTTTGGGTTAAAACTATAACTTGTCACTTACCGTATGATTTAAATATTTTGAAGGTAAGTTTTAAATTGTAATGATCAAGTATTGGTCTTTATATAATTGTAAAAGCATTACCTTCTTCTTATAATTAAGATAACTGCAATGACTTGTATAGAAAATTATATTTAGGGTTTATCTGATTATGCAGCAAAGTCAAATACTGAAACTTCTTAGTTGTTTAATGATTACAATTGGCCTCCTTTATTAAAGGAGTGTACACACCAAGAATTGGGATTAGACAAACAGGGAGGACTCGTAATTGTTGAACATTATTTCTTACATTTGTTGTTGGGTCTCCCTCAAACTCAATTCTTTATTTCAAAGCTCATATATGTATTGATTATCTCTCTTCTGGGTTTGGTCAAGGCTTGATTTTTCTCCTCAGGTTTAAGCTTCAATTAAGGCTTGGGTGCTAATAGTAGTGGTTTTAAGGTTCTGTTGGCTGTAAATTTGGGTTTTATTGGAACTCCCTGTTTATTCTTTTCATTGATTATTTTGGTGTTCTTTTTTGGAAAAAAATCTGCCTTTGTTGTTGCAGATTCGACTTCAAAAATCTGCCATTTCATTCAACTCTTATGGAAATGTGTAAATTTGCTTGTGAACTTACGATGGTTTATTGGTTCTTGAAGGTGATGTGCTTTCCGGAACATCATCAAGTGGAGTTCACCATGCTGGTGTCCTTGAAAGTTGGTTTGGAGAACACTGGTGAAACGGGCGTACCTTTGTCCTCCTTGTAACTACACTGGGTATCTTCTCTCCATTGGCATGTTTCAAGCGGATTGGCCAGTGTCTCGGTTGTCCTTTTAGAATCTAGCAGCTAACTTTTGCTCATCTTTACATTTTATTATAGCATTTGAACTCTCAGAACCTCATACTTCGTATTGCATGCTAACTGTATAGTTTACCGCGAATAACGAACAGTTATCGCTTCTCTTTCTTGCAGATTCCCTAAGATTTACGTCGGCCTTATCAGTTGCTCTGGCAGTTGTGTTTCTTTTCATTACCGTGGGAATAGCAATTGTCAAGCTAATCGGTGGAACGATACTGATGCCTAGATTGCTACCTGATGTCACTGATTTGACCTCATTCTTGAATCTCTTCACAGTAGTCCCTGTTTTAGTCACTGCATATATCTGCCACTACAACGGTATGCACGTGAACAATTCGATTCTTGATGTAGCAATGTGTTTTTTAGATCCTTTAATGTTCTTGTGTGCTTAATTTTGCAGTTTACAGCATAGATAATGAACTGGAAGACTCTACCCAGATAAAACCTGTTGAGCAAACAGCACTTGCTTTATGCTCCACTGTTTACATAATGACAAACTTATTTGGGTTCCTTCTATTTGGTTATGCTACGTTGGACGATGTGCTTGCTAACTTCGATACTGACCTTGGCATTCCCTATGGCTCCCTCCTTAGTGACGCCCGTCCGTGTTAGCTATGCTGCTCACCTCATGCTAGTATTTCCCATTGTTTTCTATCCGCTGCGACTCAACATGGATGGCCTCCTATTCCCATCTGCGAGGCCATTAGCTCTGTCTAATACAAGGTTTGCTTTTACCACCGCCGGACTCATCACGGTTATCTTCTTGGGTGCAAATTTCATCCCCAGCATCTGGGATGCATTCCAATTCACTGGAGAAACTGCCGCAGTTTGCCTCGGTTTCATTTTTCCTGCTGCTGTTACTCTTAGGTGAGTTTTCAGCCTTCAATCCGATCAAATATCTGCTGCATTGTGCTTCCATGTTAAAGTGTTTTTGGCTGGCATTTCAGGGATCGCCACTCTATAGCAACAAAGGAGGACAAGATCTTGGCTCTTTTCATGATTGTGCTTGCTGTATTCTCGAACGTGATATCCGTATATAGCGATGCCTGTGCTCTGTTTAAGAAGAATTCAGGAACATAACCCAGGGAATGATCTCTCCAGAGAAGACAGATGGCCATATTTTCCCTGAAGATTACCTGATTAATGGCACCATTCGAGGTGTATTTCGAAAATATGGGGTTTGATAATAAACTATTTACATGAACATGGACTTCTTCCAATGTATAAAGTTAGATTGTTATTGAAGTGCATGGAGATATGTCCATTATTGCACTGATACATGCCTGATTCGAATCATGTTGTAGACATTAAAACAAGATGTAAAATTGCAAATTTATCGTAATCTTCATGATTGTTTCTTTTATTTCTTGATTTTCAAAATATAAACCTGCTACTGCATAATTTATCCAAGCCAAGAAGAAAATGCGTTACTCGAGATTTGACCAATAAACAGAATACCGTCTCATAGAAGAGATCAAATTCATTAATTTCAAACACCATTTCTGAAAATTTTAAAACATTTCCATTAACATTTAATTCAACACACTGGTACATTCTCATTTTCCAATTTAGGTTGAGGGGTATTCAAATGATAAATCTCCTCATTTAAGCATATTATATCCTGAGAATTTGACTTCCAAAACCCATTTTGGAACACTAGGTGTGAAATTCATCACCCTGAAGAGTGCTTCTAAAAAGGCTTTGCTTAAAAGTATTTATTCTTCAAAGCTTTACTTAGTCTCATATACATCATCTTGAACTTGTAATACTTACATGATATTACCTAATGAAATAACAGGGTTTGAGTGGAGGCAGGAAACTAAACTAAACCAAACCTCCAAAGTTACAGAGAAATTTGCAGCACTATTGAAGCTTTACACGCCATCAGCATCTTCCACAAAATATTATACAAAGTGCAAAGCAGCAAACTCCTTACTGGGATTTTCTTTTTCTTCGTGATAGGAGTTAGCTCTTTCGTCCGTCGTACATATTCGGAAGAGGAGAGGACAACCGGAGGTAGCACAAACCATGGGGTCGCTCTAAGGTCTAGGCTCGGATGAATGCACCAAACATATGAGATTAGTTGAAAAAATAGGGTGAGTCTAACACGTCTCTTAGATCAAAATCTCCCCTTTCAGGTATGGGAGGAAAACACAACGTAGGGAAAGACTGCTGAAAGCTTTCCAACAACTGAAAAAAGTCGCCAAAAAATTATAAATAAAGAGGTGGGAGAAAAACACTATTCTGCATAAACTTGTTTTATATAAATTCAATGTTAAAAGGCAAAAGAAGTTCGAAATTTTTGGATAATATCAACTAGCATGTATTTATGAATTATGTAAATCAAACTAATGAATGGTGATCATAGTCCAATATTTTTTTTCAAAATAATGAACGAACCGTTAATCATGCCAAAGCTCACAGTCCAAGGATGGTCTTAATCTAGTTACGGCAAAGACTTGTAAAATATAAAGTGAAAATTTAAGCCAAATTACCATGCACAAAAGAAAAAAAGAAACAGAAACTAAAATGTCAGGAAACTTACATTCTCTAATATTGGTATTTCATAGAGCTCAATAAATTTTTCTCTTAGTATCCTGTTCATTGTATCTACATCACTTGCATGTGTCCAGTATGAATCATGAACTCCTGTAAACATATATGTAGCACTATAGTAATTTGAAATTGATCATTAGAATGACAATGTGAAATACCAAAATACCATTAAATCAACTACAGTACCTGCAAAGGTTAAGCCTGCCTTTTTACAGGCAACCGCAGTCATCATCATATGAGAGCCATCCAGGGAGTGAACAAAATTTGGTGGGAAAGCCGTCCTCTGTCGTTTGACCATTATCTATTACAGAAATGAATCATCCAGTTTAACATTTGGGCAAACTTCATACTCAATAACATGAAGTGGATGCACAATGTTAAATTTATTAGGGTGAAGATAATAAGGGCGTCATGTTATGTTATAGAATTTAAACAGCTGAAAATTGGCATAGCAATTCATGTGGATAATAAATTTCAGAAATATTGATAAGAGAAACTCATACAGTGCAATCTAAATGTTAAATTTATTTGTGCAAGTTAAATTCTAGATCCAAATTTATGCAAAAAATGAGTTACAAGGTCAACAAATAAATTTCAATCTTACTCTAAATCTAAATCAAAGGAGCATAATTGGATAAGAAAGCAACAAGCTCATTGTGCCTGTCCCTCTTTAAGAATCCGTATCATAACAGTTAACTCATTATGCATAAATTCCTCTGGCCACTACTATGAAAAAATGATAAAAGTTAGCCCCACTGCAATACGAAAAGCTGGTTCATACATGATAAAAAAAAAGTGAAGCTCTAACAACTTACGTCTAACATAATAGTGTAACTTGTACTATCTTGGCACTAAAAATCCAGTGATTCTGGTATTAATACTTTCAGTCATCAAACCAGGTTGTCTTGCAATCTTTGTTTGTGCTGTGTTCGGTGATTTACCAAAGCAAGAGCATGCAGACTTCAGCAAGCAATATCTAAACAGAAGTATAAACTGTAAAATTGAGATAGGTTAATAAGTACCTTTTCAGTTTCACGTTGCAGAGTTAAAACCTGAAGGGAAGTCTTTATCTGCCAATTCCACATAAAGAAGTTAAAATAAGTAGGAGTATTAGTGTTATTATCAGATTCACTTCTGTTTTGGTAATAAAGTTATTAGCAAATTCTATGTTTTTACAGACATAAATGTTCAATTCAAATACTCACAAGATGCCTTCCTAACACTCGATATGGTTGTACAACAGGAAGTCCAAGTGGAGTTGTCCAGCTCACTGGCTGATTTTCAGATGCAATGATCTGCTCAGATTCAACATTTTAAGCTAAAAACCATCCAATAATTTTTGAAGTGTATAGCAAATAGAAGATCGGAGAAATACAGGCAGGGAGAAAGGTACAAGAGGGTCAGAAACACACCTTTGCACATTCACCAAGCCATCTCATGATATCACGTGCAGCTTGAAACATCTCACCTAAGGCAGTTAACGTTGTCTATTCGACAAATAAATATGATTTTATCATTAAATTGAGAGTGCAGGTGAAAGTATAATTTCATTTATTGAAACTAATTGAAGATAAAGTAGAAGTTAGCATTCCTTACCTTAGCAGCATAACAAGAAGCAACAAAGAGCTCTCTGTCGTCTGTAATTACACCACGTTCCTTCAACCTCCTCTTGATTTGATCTCGTGCCCCGATATAAGTTACACCATAGACTGAGGTCATCACTGTTTGCTTCACCAGTTTCCTATCCACCTAGTTAATAAATTTTTTGGGCATTAGAATCAACTACCATACTAACTAGCTCCCAGTCAAGATGGCCATAAATTCAGCAAGTTCCCAATGCCATACTTCCCTTATGAATGATTATAGTTCACAAGAAAGAAACAAAGTTGCACTTTTTTTTTGGTAAACTATAATATTTTTGCAAATATCATACAAGGAATCCATAGAATACCTGGTTAACCAATATTTTTGCAAGAGATGCGTCTGGAAAAACTGCAGGATCCTTTTGCGCATCAATCCGCATGATACCAAGCACTCTACATTCAGAATGAGTTCTTTTGTTATTATATTGTAATATTAAACTAAACAAAGAATATACATAAAATGGAAGGTATAGCATAATCATCCTGCTGGATATACATCAGTAAATGTGTATCAATGCATTCAATATTAGCTAAACTTTTCTTAGCAGTTCTTCATTTTAAGCAGTAAAAATGCAATTGAGTACAAGAATCTTTTAAGCTGAATAAAACCTAATATAGTTGTTCTCTTATGGTAAGCTTAAATCTACCAAGAGAGTTTAACTTTCATCTATTAGTTAAAGGATAACTAAGAACAATAATTTCAATAGATTTTCTCCAAAAGGACACAGCAGCGTAACTAGTTTTCCTCTTCCATTTTTTTCACTTCTTACTGCAGGTGCCTTTTTTTTGGGGGGGGGGATTGCAATCAAGAACTCAAACCAGATGATAAGGATCAATCAATCCTTAAAAAGGTTTTTCTAGAAACAACATAAAAATGGCTTACCTAGCAGCTATTCCTGAGTAAACATCTGCTGGTTTTTCACCTGCAACTAGATTGACTGCAGCTGCTCCCAACTGTAAGTTAATTTTTAAATTCAAAATCATAAGCAGAAATAAAAGATATAATAACTTCAACAATGATTTCTGGCTTAAAAAAAGGATACCTTGTCTCTGCCAAGTGCAGCATAGTGTTGTAAACCATTGCAGGAACCATCCTACAGTAAGGAAATAAAAAAGCAACAGGTAAGGAATCAGCTTATAGGCTAAAAAGAGCAGGCAGCAGGTGGAAGTTGAGAGTAAAGAAGAATTGTCACTGTATATACAAAAGGAGGTAGGATATATTATCGATAAAATGAAATATAAACTCAAATATTCCTCATTCCAAGCATTTTTTGAATAATATTACTCAAATTGATGGGAACATTTTTAGCAAGTCACTAAACAGCCAGTAGAAAAGAACCAAAAAATGTTCCACATAGCTTAGGCAATAGAAACCTGAAAAATAAATAAAACCACAGTTACAGTTCTATAGGCATATGAATGAAACAGATTGATATTCCATCATGTAGCTCAATTATATATGGTTTGTTCTTTTCTGTTTATTCAAGTCTGCATTTGCATATGTTTGTATGGCAATCAACATATGTACGTCTAAATGGAATATATATATCTATACTGACAACCTACAGATGAACTACTCAATTCATCTAGTTCCTCTAATGAATGATCTGGTCTAATAATTATGCAGAAAAAATATCTGGGCGTTAGGGGGAGTGGGAGGACAAATGAAGGAACCTGATGCACAGGTATATGGGAAACAAATGTCTCTGGAGAGGAGCTTCTTAAAGCTTCTGCGAGATCAATGCACACAGCTAAGCACTGAAATGGATCTTCTGCTTTTAACCACCAGCGCCTTCCTTCAAGTGGTCTGTCTGCAGAGTCGAATATATCATCTAGATGATTCTCAGTGAAAGCCAGTCGACCATCAAGAGACAGTTTGTCCACCCCACCAGCATATAGATTCGCGAGATGTATTTTCAGCCAGCGTAAGCCAGATCTTCCAAGAGGGCGACCCTCTGCAAACTCCAAAACACCCCGACAAAGATCTGAACCAAGATGATTCAAATAGGGGTGCATGGGATATGCACGTCCTCGGAAATCTAGATTGTGTGGGTAGTAGAAACCTTCTTCATCTTTCAGTTTCCGAGCTACCTGCTCATGGTTTTAAAGAGTTGGAATAAGTCTGATTTTGTACTAAACATGCTAGCAGCATATAAAGGTCAAGAGAACATACAGCAAGTTTAAGCTCTATATCACAACGCTGTGAATGCCTCTCTCTGTTTTCCTTTTTCACAGATTTGACTTTCCACTTCCATTTCTTAAGCAATGCTTCATCCTCAGTATCAGGCTTTTCTGGTGAGGGAACCTGCAATATTTGAGGATTA